TGCTCCGACCCGTTTCTGCGGCTACTTCTGCCCCTGCCCCTTTCGTCTGCCCCCCCCCCCCCACCATGAACCCTGCCTGCCCCCAGGACACAGCCGCAAGAGCTTCTCCAACAGGGGAAAGCGGTCCTCGGGGCCCGCAAGAGGTTCTGCTCCCCGCCCGCGTGTGTAAACAGTTATTTATCCGCGACTCCGGCTTTTATTCCCCCTCGGATCAACCTGGCACAATTTGGCTGGGTTTTCCTGGCCGTAGCCCCACTCAGGGGTTCCCTCGTCATGAACGCAGGCAGGGCGTTTCAGAAACCCAGCGATACGCCCTCTCGCAAGCGTTCCCAGGCAAGCAAACCTACACAGATGTGATCGGCGAGGGTGATCAGGCGGTGAGTGCGTGGCACGGGCCCCATCGCTTCCGTCTGTGCAGGGGGCGGTGGGGGCGGCGGGGGCGGCTGCTGCGGCAAAGGCGAGTCTTGCTGGGGCCGGTAAGGGTGGATCGGCCCCTCGTACTGACGGCTGCAGTCCCCTAGTTTGCAGGAGGTGGGGAAGGAAGGAAAGGATTATTGACTGGAACGGCGCTCAGAGGACCCCTCTTGCCTTTTGGTCCCCGGACTGGGGGCCTCCGAGCGGCTCCCAAGCCAAGGAAGAGACGGCCAAGCCCGTCCCCAAAGCAGCCCTGCTGGACCCGACCGCGGCAGGAGCGCCAAGTCCCGCATCCGGGTCGAGAGGACCTTCCCGGCTTGGCTCCCCACAGCCAGACTTACTTTCCCCTTGGCTCATCTTGGGGGCTTCCTGCGGATAAGGCAGCATCTTTTCCTGGGGAGGGGCAGGTGAGCTGGCGGGGCTGATCACCTCGATCGCGTCTCTGGGCGGCTCGTATCGGTGGGAGGAAGACACTGTGCCAGCCGGGGAAGAAGGGGGGGGGGGGGTACAGTCACGCCAAGCCGCTCTCACTCCTGCCATCGGCCGCCGCACGAATTGGCTCGGGGCGCGCCACATCGGGGCAGCCAGAGGGAGGCCTCCCCACTTACAATAAAACCTTTTTATTCTCCCAATATTCTAACGGTTAACCGGTTTTAATGGGTGGCTTTATATTTAGCATCGGATGCTGTGCACCTGCTACTAGTATTTCTAATTTTATTCTGCTTTATGAATCTGCTGTAAACCGTCCCGAGACGTCTGTGAAGGGGCATTATAGAAGAGTTTTAAATAAACAAACAAACAAACAATAAATAAATAAATAAAAATAGGTGTTTCTGCAACTCAGAAGGTAAAGGAAAGGGGTCAGGGAGCATCTCCGATGCAGGGCCTCTGCCTGGGAGAGGATGCCACCCCACTGGGCAGGGCTGGACCTTCCCTGGGGGAGGGGCAAGCCCCCACCCTGGCTGACCACTGCCCAGAAGCAGGGGATCCCATGTGGTCTGGGCCACGACCAGGAAACTGTGAGCTCCCCTGAGCACGGCCCTGTGGGGAGGGACTAAACGGCCAGGCAGGTGGGCCTGGAGGTGGCCTTCCCTGGTCTCAGGGCCACCTGAGAAGAGCCCTGGCTGCTTTGTCCTGGGAGAGGCCTCCCGCTTGCTGGGGGGCCAAGGAGACGGGGCTGGCTCCACCCCCCCCCCCCCCACCGTGCGGCTGCTCGGCACGCCAACCGCCAGCCGGGGAACCCGCCGGGGGGGCACCTACGGCTGCTGGAGGAATCCGAGCTCTGAGAGCCGCGATCCCGGGCATCCTTGTCGGAGGCGATCTGCCGGGTGATGATGACGTCGATGAAGTTGGCCGCCGTGATGGTGGTCTTGCCCCGCGTCCGCAGCTCCTCCTCATACTTGGAGATGGACGGCGGGCCTTTGTCCTTCCCCACCTCTGAGTAGACCGAGGAGGACGCGGGCTGGCTCTGGGGCTTGCTGCTGGCGTAGCCCGAGGAGGAGGAGGCGGCGGTGGCGTAGCCCGACATGCCCCTCTTCTCGGCCTCCTTCTGCTCCATCTGCTGCTGCTGCTGCTGCTGCTCGCTCGCCCGGCGGCCTGCGTTCTCCTCGATCCGGCTCCCGTCGTGCTTGCCCTCCTTCGACTTGGCGACCTCCATCTGAGGGGCGGAGGCCGCAGCGTCCACCAGCGCGGCCAGCGCGTCCGCGGCAGTGTTGTAGCGCGACGCCGGCAGCCCCTGGCTGATGGAGGGCGCATTGGAAGGAAGCTGCCTGCGGGTGGGGAGAGGAAATGGCGCAGAGCGGTGAGGTCAGGCACGGAATGGGAGCTCACTGGCAGCCACAACCATCTATTTCCCAGGCTGCCGCTCTCCAAGGGTGCTGGACTACAACTCCCAGAGTCCCCCAGCGCTGCTTCAAGGGAGAGCTGCTGTCCGTCTGGAGCGGAGCACCCCCTGGTGGGCTGGAACACCTGACTGTGGCCCGCTGGCTTCTGGGAGGTGAAGTCAGAACCACACCGAGATTTTGTCAACCCGGAGCTCCACCCCCTGCTGGGAGTCCTGCTCTGGAAGCTTCGAGAGGCACCTGGGAGCCCTGCTCCAGGTGGGAGAAGGCTGCAGGTAAAACCTTCTCTCAGCTGCAGCCCGACGGCCCCTCTTTGGGGTCTCGTCTCAACGACATAGCTCAGCAGGGGAAAGACAGGCACCCCACCCCCACTACTCCCCACTGGGAAAAACCCTAGCCAGCCATACATGATGCGCAGCTGAGCAGCGGGGTCCAGGGGGGTGATCACGCTCGTCCCGTTGGACCCCTGGAAGATGCTCGGCCGCTGCTGCATGATGTTCTCCTGGCTCCGGACCGAAGGGGAGGGCGAGCGGACGTAGCCGTGGCTGCCGGGTCTGCCGGGCTGCTCGGCACCTTCGGGGCGAGAAGGAAGGAGGCATCAGGGCAAGGGGCCTTGGGGGCAGCACGGCCGTCCCACGTGTTGCGCCGGGTGGATCCGGAGGGGTGGCGGGCGCTCACCTGGACGAAGGTACAGCTCAGTGGGCACAGAGGCGATCTGCTCCCTCTCTCGTTCCCGCTCTCTCTCCCTCTCGCGCTCCTTCTCCCGCTCGCGCTCGCGCTCTGCATTGGCAGCCGCTGAGGCGGCCAGGTGGGAAGGATGCCCTAAGCAGGTGGAGGAGGAGGAGCAGGTGAGTCTAAGAGGCAGGCCAAACAGCCGACACACGAACAGGTCGATGGGACAGACGGTTCTAGATTCATTTCTTCATCTTCCTCGGGACCTTTTCCCTGCCCTTCCAAGGAGCCCTGGGGACTGTAACTTGGCACAGGCATGAAGAGCACATGGAAACCGCGTCTCCTGCATCCGCATCTCATCCATGCCCAAACTGCCATGGATCCCCGGGCCCAGCAGGCCATTCCAGGGACGAGCGGGCAGGGGAGGGAGAAGCGAGCTGAAGCTGAGGGGTTCAGGGGGCAGACCTTGAGGGATTCGCGGGCACTGAAGCGCCATTTTGGGCTGCTCTGGGATTAGGCTCAAGTTTTAGGGTTTGTGTTATTTTATATTACGTGCATCATTCTTCATTTTATTCTTACAGATTGCTTCGATCCCCGTGGCAAGTCAGCTTCCGTATTTGTCGGGGGCGTGGGCCAGCGGCTCCCAAGGAGCCACTGCGAGGTGGAGCGAATGCCTCTAAGAACGTGGCCGAGAGGTCCATTGTGGGTTGGCACCTGACTCACCTGAGGCCTCACGCTGAGCCCCGCCAGCGGGAAGTCCCAGAAGGACACGCTTTGAAATGGCAGCTCCAGAGAAGAGAATTATTTTGCAGGGACCACGAGTGGGAGAGCAAAAGGAATGCTACAAAACAGATTCCCCCCATACTCCCCAGCCGTACCGAAGGCGTGCCGGCTTCTCCTCCGACAGGTGTGTGCTGGGACTCTCACCTGGAGACATGGAGGGGGGGTTGTAAGGCCTGGCGGGGAAGGCAAGCTGGGTGCCAGGGATGTAGGTGATCCTCTCCATCGGAGGGGTGCTGGGCCCTCCCGGGTGGGGCACCAAGATGGTGGGTGGCATGCTGTTCAGGTCAATGATTCCTGCGGGGGGGAGAGAAACGGCTGCAGCGAGGGGCCTGGCGCGAACCCTGCCCCCCCGAGCCCACACGGGGACCCCCCCAAGGGCCGGGCAAGGCGGACTCACCCCGGGTGCCTCCGTAGGGAAGGGCCAGCGTCTGCTCCCGGGGCGACAGCCCCCTGGCCAGGTCGGGGCGCAGGTTGACCTGCATCTGCTGGGAGGTGATGTAGTCGTTCAGGATGGTCTGCCGGGTGTTCTCCATGGCATACAGCTGGTACTGGCTCGGGTAGCCGGGGGTGGGAGAGAGCTGGCGCTGGAACATATAGGCGGCAGCTGGGGGGGGGGGAGAGGAACAGTTTGACAGCCGGACAGGACCGCCTGGGCAGAGCATCGGACCAGCTCCAGGGAGACTTGGGCGGACAGGCTCCCGCAGGCGGGTGGCTCCCTGGCTGAAGTCGGGCCAGCTGCCTGCTCTTACTCCAAGCTGGTGCTGGGCGCTCCTTCCAGGGCTGCCCGGCCCTGACCTGGAGAGAGACCCCACCCTGCTTATCTCTGATGGCCGGCCGGAGACCAGACGGGGGAAAAGCCACACGCAGAGCCCAGAAGGGGAATCCCTCCCCGTGCCTCTGCATGCTGACCACACGATGCCCCACTCGGCTGAGGGTGCTGCGGCCAGGCTGGAGGGCACGGTCCCTTCCCTGCCCCAGACAAAGACTCCTGAGAGGTCCCGGCATGGGGCACGCGCAGAGTTCCGTGCCGCCGAGCGGAGCCAAGCCGGCACTCACTGGGATCCAGCGCCCTGTGGAACTGCATGGCGGGGTCCAGGTGTGACGGCAGGTGGCTCCGGTAGACTTCCGGCGTGCCGCCCCGGTGGTGGGGGTCGTAAGGGCTATGCGAGACGACGGGGTCCACGCCCGGCACCGGAGACTTTGCCGGGATGCTCTCCCTCTGCGTGGGCGTCAGGGCGGTCTTCCGTTCGTGGTTCGTAGCCTTGCTTGGCGTCAGGCTGGCTGCTGGAGAAACCCCACCAGGGCTGGGAGTGAGCCCAGGGAGGAATGGCAGGCTTCGTGGTGGCCTTCCCTTCCGAAAGGAAACCGGCCCCGGGGGGCTCGATCCCCCCGCAGCCTTGGGCCAGCACCCTCTCGCTCCCCCCCCCCCAAGATCAGCCGTGGTCCCAGCTGGACCAGGACACTGGACTGTTGGACCCGGTGGAGTTCTTATTTGGCGACCGCTGCGTTTTTAACAGTATGTTCAAAAACTGTTTCTTTCGGCATCATTTGAACCACATTTTAATGTAATGCAGTTTGGTTTGTTTTTTTTCTTTTGGTTTGATTTGCTCCCACAGGTGCCCATCCCTCTGAGGCCCAGAGACCTGGTTCACCGGACACGACACCCCATCATGGGTCACTAGCCAAGCTGGGTCGCTGCATCTTCCGGACCCAGATCACTTTCCACAAAGGGGCTGAACTGGGGGCCACAAGCCAGGCTGACAACCCAGGGCTTGTTCAAGGCCGCTTTTAACAGCTACGCTACTCTGAAAAGGTTCACCATCACACAGCTGCGTTTGTGCGCTTTAATCATCATGTGTCAGTATTTGCAAGCCTGGCGTGCCTGTCTTGCCTTATCAACAGCCTTGTGAATTTCTGCTGCCAAAGGGCTGCCAAGGGGAGCATCTATTCGCAGGTGAGCCGACTTGTATTTATCCCTCCGCCGTATTTATGCACAGGCTAATTTGTGCGCAGCTGCCAGGGACCAGCGGCTGAGGGGAAAGCACCGAAGCGGGGCGAGCAGAGAAAGGGGGTGCGCCAAGGCGGCTGGGGATAAAATCACCCCCGAGAATTCCAGCCTTCTGGATTTTAAGTGCTGCGCTGACAGTTTCCCTCATCTTCTACTGCTTCAGCACTCCAGATTCCCGCTACTGCCTAAAGGGGAGACATTCACTGCCTGGCACTTTTTCGGAGCGCTGGCTGCCAAGGGGACCGTAGGCCCGGGGCGACTCTAACGGCGGCCTGCGGAAGCGGTTGCGGGGGGGCAAGAGCACGGCGTCCACCGCAGGGCTCCCCATCCCGTTCCGCCAGCCCCACGCGGGATTTTACCCACCTTCTGCCGCCCTGTTCATCATGGGGGAGCTCCTGGACATGCTCTGGTAGCCGACCGGCGTCCTCCTGGCGTTGGCGTCTTCGTAGATCCCCGGGCTCACTTGGGACTTGGGTGCTTCGTGGATGGTCGACCGGAGGACCGAGGGCCCCGAGCTGACCACCGAGGTGTGCCGGGACCGGACCTCCCCGCCCTTGGCCTCCTCGTACTTCCCCCGCTCCGCCGGCTTCACGTTCTCCGCCACCAGCTCCAGCGGGGACATGCCCCGGGGCAGCTTGCTGGGGCCGGTGATCAGGGACTTGACGTTGTGCTTGATGGCCGACTGGCCAGAGCTGTTGTCGTATTTGATGGGCGTGCCCTGTGGGGAGGAATACCGGGAGGCGGCGCTGGGAGGGCCTCTGATCCAAGCCTCTCCAGCCTGGTGCTTGGACGGCTCCCACAGGCCCCTGGACCTGCTGGCAGGCGGAGGCAGCGGAGCTGGACCAGCCCTTTGCTTGATAACGGAGGCGGCATCCACAGCGACCTGGCGACGGAGCAGCGTGCCCCCGCAGAGGCGGACGGCACTCCGGGACACAGCCCTCGCTGCTGGAGAACCCCTCCCGACATCCGCCAGGACTTGCTTCCCGGGCATCGCCTCGAGGCCTGCCTTCTGGAGCAGCGGAAGTCGAGCCTGCCCTGCCTTTGGCACGGCAGCCTTTTACGCAGTGCCAGGCCGCTCTTCTGTCTCAGCAGGCGGCCCAGGTGCCTTCAGAAGATTCTGGGACACGGCATGCTGGGCTAGCGACAGAGCGGGTGTGGAGACACAGGCCTGCCCGGCACGCCTCTGGGAGAGGAGAAGCCAGCTAAACGCTGCACCTTTAAAAGGAACGGGCCTTCCGGGTCCGAGGCATCCCTCCCAAGAGGAGTCAGTGTGCTGGACTGCAGCTCCATCATCTCCCGGGCTGGGAGGCGAAGGGACCTGCTGCCCAGAGCACCTGGGGGGTGGCGCCTTGAGGAGGAGGCCTTCCAGCTGAAGCATATGCCCCCCCCAGCGTTGCGTGTCGGCTGCCCCACCCTCCCCCGTGACATCACTGCCATGCGGTTCCCCCACTGGCAGGAGGTTTCTGGAGCTGAATCCCAGCCCAGCACACGTGACCTGAGGATTTGCCAACAACGGAAGGTTTCTGCCTTGGGGAACCTCCACGGACAGGCCAGGCTTAGGCCAGGCTCGCTCACCCATCTTCCCGAAGCCAACTAGGATCACTGTGCTCACGCAGGACTTGAGTCAACCTCAGAAAAGGGGTGTAGGGTTGGGTTTGGCAGATCTGTCTGCCTCCCCGTGGCGACGCTTGGCTACCTGGGATGTTGGCCAGACGCCCACCCACCTGAGAGATGGAGCCCTCGATGATCGGCCGGGCGCCCTGCACGACCTCTGGCGTCTTGCGGCTTTCCGGGCTCAGCAGGTCCTGCCTGGGGATCTCGTGGATGGAGCGGCCCATCTCCTTGATGGTGGTCACCCCGTCGTAGGGCTTTCCCTTGGTGATGGCACCTTCGAAGGCCCGCGTCGGGGGAGACTCCCGCTTGACCTTGGGATACTTGAGGCCTTCTTCGTAGCTCTCCGCTGTGGGTCTCGGCGTGCCTGGCCAGGAATCAGAGGCAAAGGTTCAAAACTTGAGCAGAGGGTGGGGGGCTCTGGGACCGTAGTCCAAACTAAACCGCTCGCCATCTGCGCCATGTGGCAAATGCTTGCTCGTCTTAAAGGAGAGCAGCAGACCTTAAAGGGGAGCAGAATTATGACGGGGAAAGATCACCTTGGAAGAGACTCTTTCTCCCTACCTTGCATGATAGAGCCCGACAGCACAGTCCTCTCTTTCAGGTCCGAGTGGGGACTACCCCGAGGCAGGGCGCGGCAGATTAACCCTAAAACGACGAGAAGGTGTTCGGGGATGAGTGAGACACGGGCTTGCCCTTCCTCCGCCGCACACGCTTCTTCACGGCAGAGGAGTTGCCCCTCGTGCTAAAACCGGAGGGGAAAACCCAGAAGTGGGCCAAAACTAGCCACGACTTGTCAGGCCAGCCACCCCGATAGTGCCCCCTCCCCAAATAAATCGCCTCACAGCCAGGCTTCGTCCCTTTTCAGCCTCACCAACTTTTCAACCTGCTGTTTTTATAAACATTTTTGTTATCCAGCAAAAAGAGAGCTGTGTTCTACCTTCTAATGGTGCGGAGACGGGCGATTCTCTCATCGACATCCCTTGCTTGATGTTTCCCTCCATGGCATCGTACGTCCTCTTGAGGGTCATTTCGTGAGCTGTCCTTGGGCTTCGGGTTCCTTCCCGGACGTTTTTAATGGCTGTGGAGGCACAGTAAGGCAAGTCAACGAGCAGAGAGGGTGGGCCTTCTCCGGGGTGGCCCCGCCTCTCTGGAATCACCATCCACTGGGGTTCCTTCGGCTCCTTCTTGGTAGCTCGTTCGGAAAGCTGTGAGGCCCCTACCCATTTCTGCTGGCCTTCCTTTAGTTGTTCTGAACCCACCTTGTTTTGACTGATTTTAAATTGGCAACCTCTGTTTTCCTGCATTTTACTGGGACATGTTTGATTGTGGGTTTCTTTTTACCCAGTTTGGGAAGTTTTCAGGCTTCCTCGAGAGGTGCCCCTCTTTAAAGTCAGCCCAGAGGTCACTTAGAGTGATAAGTGCCCTGGCCTTCCGACGGAACCACCACGGGAAAAAGGTTGTGACAGCACTTCCTTTGCCTCAGCTGCAAGGTGGCTCCCGGTGGCGCTGGGCCAGGTGTGCGCTGCCCCAGAGCGCCAGACTCACCATCGTAGGTGATGATGTGCCCACTCTTGCCCTCGTAAATGACGTGGCCCTTGGATGCCCCCGCCTCCTCCCGGCACTTCTCCGGGCTGCTCTCCTCCGTGGCCAGCCGCGTGATGGTTCCTTTCAGCAGCACATCCGCAGCAATGCCGGACTGGCTCAGAGCGGGCGTCCCCTGCGGCGAACAGAATGGAACTCCGATGCGCAGGCATCAGGCGACACCGTGGCCCGAAGGGGAAAACGGGCAGCCTCCCCAGAGTCAGACCCTAGTTCTGCCTAAACCCAGGACTAACCAGCAGCGATGGCTGCCCAGGCAAGATTCCTTCCCGGCTCTAGCGGGAGATGTCACAGGGGCCTGAGCCGGGGACCCTTTGCATGCAAAGCAGGGACTCTGCCCATGAGATCTGGTCCTTCTTTAAATATAAAGTCAAGATTCCAGCCCTCATGGTTCTTGAAGGAGCAATGGATTGAACGAGGACCTGACACACCGACTCGGCTACTTGGTTCTTCTTGCTCAGCACTGCCTAAGCTAATTCAAGTGGGGGTTTCCCGGCAATTCATCCCCCTACTTCTACCCCCCCACCGCACCCCACCCCCGGTAAAGGGGGAAAAGGCAGACGAACACAAAGAACATTGCTGCCGATGCTTCTCAAGAGCATCTTTGCCCCCGAAGAAGCATCGGAGGCACTGCGCTCGACGCTGGCCCCCTTCGGTCTCAAAGCCACACAGCAATACCTGAGTGATGGAACCGCGCAGGGCCGGCATGGATTCGACAGACACTTTGCTGGTCGGAGTCCCCCGCGTTATGCTTCCTTCTTGGATGGTTGCCGTCCCTGCAGGGTGGTACCGAGGGAAGGCAGCTCACACGGGGGCGACACACGCACACACATGCAGATTCGCTTCCTCTATCCCCACCCCGTTGCGTTAAGCAATGAGGCTCACTGTTTTTATCATGCTTCATTCGAAGTCCTAATTGAGGGTTTGGTCATCTACCGGGCCCCTCAAAGAGACGTCTTATTTGTTGATTTATTCAACTTAGATTCTGCATTTGATCAGTCCAAGGGACCCTCTCAATGGGTACAATAAAAACTAAGATGGAACTTCTGTAAGAGATACCAAGCCCATTTTAAAAGTCAAAGGGCCGTTCACTAATCGTCCCTCATTTTGTCCAAAGCATCTTTTTAAGCACCGCTTTTCTTAAAATGTCACACTTTCCGGGGAAAGGGCAGGCCATCGAAGGAAGGGATTCTGGGTTTGCTCACCTCGAACTACTCCCTCATGCTGGGCTCTGACCAGCAGCCCCTCCGGCTGCGAGTTTTGGCTCCGGGGAGAGAACTCCTCTTGTTTGATGTAGGGCAAGGAGGCTTCACAGGTTGGCAGGCAGGAAGAAAAGACAGAACCGTCACTTCCTCGCGCAAGCAAGCAGCCCGGACAATTGATGCCTCGCCTGGGCGTACAGGACGCGAGAACAGGCGCACAACCGGCTCTCCCCAGTGGCTCCATCTGCTGCCTGGACGCCAGGTCTCCCAAACTCAAGACCCACACACAAATTTAAATTTCAGCAGACACAAAGCACACCCTCTCGAGAACAGCTCTAGGGGCACTGCACCCCCACAAATTCTGCTATCCCTCACCCTGAGCAGTGAGGAGCGTCCCTAGGTAGGGCTGCAAAAGAAAACAAAACCCATCTTGAACTCCCGGAGCATTTTTGCCCGTCAGTGCTGCCTGGCGTCCAGCAGGTGCCTGGGACTACAGCTCCCTTAAGTGTCAGTTGGGGCTGATGGGAGTCGTGGTCCTGGACATCCACAGGGCACCAGGCTGCTCACCTCCAGCTTAGGTACTGAACACCATAAAGGCTGGAAACTGTGCGGATGGACCAACGAGCGCTAAATCAAGAGCTTCTCACTGCTTTGTTAACACTTCCCCCAAAATATTCGGGAAATCACAGCATCTGTGACTGGGCGAAAGGGGATGGGAGGAACCCAGGAGGGCCAGACTGGGGCACCAGACCTGAGGCTCTGCACCCGCACTCCAGACCGATTCGGATCCCAGCTATGTAAAATTTTATTTATTTAAAACTTCTGCATGCCGTCCCTTATGCATGGCATCTCAGGACGGCTTACCATCGTTAAAACAACCACAATAAAACAGCAGTCTTAACATAATGAATAACAATTAACCAAAAACACCAATTAAAGAAGCTAAATAAAAAGTGACTGTTAAAACATTAAAATTTAAAATCACAGTTTTTAAAATAACAGCTAAAAATGAAAGTTAAATAAAAAGGGATTTAATAAAAACCCTAAATGCCAATTTCATGCAGGCTGGCAGGGGAGGACTGTCCAGAAAAGCCCAAGATGGAACACTGAGGAGCCTTCGCTGACTGGTCCCCTCGTGTGTCCGTCACGAGCGCATCGCTCCACAAACTCAGGAAGGAACAAGGCGGAAGGGGAAGAGGAAGAGGAAGAGGAGGAAGGTAGGGGCTACCTGCTTTGGTCGATTCCTGGGGCCTTGGAAGTCCGAGAGAGATAGAACCCGAAGACGGCTTGGCCGGCTCTTGGCCGTAAGAACTTTGACTGTGGGATGTCAGATAAGTGCCAGGTGTTCCCTGGAAACGAGAGGGTCACCTGTGATGCAACCGCACCAGCCGAAGCAGGACAAAACACGGATCGCGACACGAGGGGGAGGCGGCTGTGGTGCAAACGGCCCAACGAAGACGCTGCGTGCCCAGTGGCCACGGCATGGCTGCCGAGGGAAGGAAACCCCGGGGGGGCGAAGGAGCAAAAGAGGCAAGGCAGGCCGCTGCTTTCTCAAACTGAGGAAACGAAACCGACGGGGGAACGAGAGGTGCGTGCGCCCCTTCCCCATCGCCGCGGGGCCTCCGTGCCAGATGTGCTTCCTGCGGCCTTCTCGGACTTGGGGCTTCCGGAGGTGCGGCAGGACAACTCCCGCTGCCCCCTGCGTTGGCTACAGGACGGGGCGCAGCACCAGGGGGGCCGGGGCTCCCAGTGCTCCAGCCGGAGCATGTCTTCCACCTTACTTGAGAGATGGATCCTCCCATGATGAAGGACGGCTTCTCCGAGGGCACCACTGTTTTCGAGGAGGGGATCAGTGGGGGCGGTGGTCTGGTGGGCCGTGTGGTCGGGGGCCGGACCCCTTCGGAGAGATTGGTTATGACCTGATGCGGAGCAGGTTGAAGGACTTGGGTGTGGGGAGGAGCAGGGAGAGAAAAAGGGGGTGTCTCAGCAGAGCAACATGGTGAGAAAGTCCAGACGACGGTCTTCTGCATCTCCAGCAGATGCCCGAATTAAATTATACATAGGGCAATGGATTTCTCAAATTTCTAGCCCTCACGGAAATAATTTTTGCCGGTTATTTCAATTACAGTGGGCTGAAAAGCCTCGCCAAGCTGTCCTTGGGACCTGACTGAGTTGGATTCACCACCCACCTGGGACATCTACTCCATGTCTCTGGTGGGAGGGAGACCTTAGGGACCACCCCACTCCCAAGACCACCTACCCAGGATGGGGAGGAGGGCGTCCAGGCGAGTGTGTGTGAGTGGCTTCTGGTCCCTAGAACAAACCCAGCTCTCAGGCCAATAAGGGTCTCCTTTCTGGGGTGCGATACCAGCGCTTAATTGTATTCTCACTTCAAACTGGCCCCACCCTGAGAGCATCAAACCGGATGCTCCCATTGGTTCCTCTAGTCCAACTGGGACCGCCCCCTGGAGAAGAGCCTTCGGTGTGGTGGCCCCGGGCCGTGGGACCCCCTGCCCCTCAAGGGCAGGCAGGCACCATCCTTGTGTTATTTCTGGGGCTTCCAGAAAACATTTCTGTTTTAACATGTTGTTTGAGTCCTTCTAAATGCTGTTCTGGAATCTCCAGAACTGGAAATGACCCAAGAGAAGAGAAGAGAAGTCACCTGGTGGGACACTGTAGCGTGCGGGATTCGAGTCTGGCTGTGGGGAGGCCTTGCTGACCTCTCTCGGGGACAAGCGATAGGGGGAGGCCGATCGCGCCATGGCGTTCTGCATCTGGGCTTCCTGCTCCATGGCCCGCTTCACTTCAGCGTAAGGCATGTAGGTCACGTTCTTCCCTGCGGAAACGGGACAGCAGCAGATCAGACCTGGCCGCAGGCAGCGGGAGGCAGGCACCGTTCCCACGCTTTCGGAGACCGGTGGGGAGAGGCGTCAGGCCACAGAGCGCCCTCGCAGACGCTTAGGACTTTTCTGTCACGCCATGTGACTTCATCGTGGTCCTTGGCTCAGTGACCAAGATGGATTTACAGCGCCTGTGAACTGGGACAGGGAGGTGGAACCTCCCTGCTCAGGGGCAGTGCACCTGGCAGTGTACCAGAACAAAAATAACTGGCCGCCACATCTGGCTTGCAAATGGCACTGGGGCACTCTTGCTTTCTAGCCTGCCACGGGAGGGTTATTGGAACGTATAATATAGAAACTATATGCAACGCTTTCACGTTCCTTTTGTATGTGTTATCTACACATGTTTATAAATAGCAACTTTCCACTGCAGCCTTTCAAAGTATGCTGCTTTAATCTTTTGGGGGGCAACCCTACACCCTCCCGACATTGTCTGGGGGATTACTGGGCGCCTGAGCTCAGAAGTCCTTTTTTTAATTTATTATTATTATTATTATAACATTTCTATGCCGCCCCTTGCCGAAACCTGTTTCCCCGCAACCCCCCAGGCCTCTCTCACGGCCACCCTGGAGGGAAGCGTTCTTGCAAGATACTTGCAAGGGAAGCGAGATACTCTGCAAATCTTGTGCATGAGCAAAAACACAATCACATCGCACAGGTGCAGAAGGGGAATGCTTAGAGCCAAAGGGGGCCCTTTAGGGCCGTCAGGCAGACCCTCCGGTCAGTGCCAGAATCCAGTTTCAAGCAAGCCAGGGCTGGCTGCGGCCCGCATCGCCTCACGCGCCTTCCCGGCACCTGGAAGCTGCTCCCGTCCCATCCCCACTGCGTCTGTTCATCTTTCAGAAACAGAGAAAACGTGCTCTGCACCCCGGGAATCGTTGTGAAAAAGCAGGCGGGCAGACCTTGCTTCCACTCACTCACTTCTGCCTCCCATTCGGGGCCAAAGGGGGACGACAGGCTCTCCGAAATCTGCAACAAGCCACAGCGGGGACGGGGGGGGAACGGGGTCTGTCTGGCCAGGGGCCAACAAAACCCAGCACCTGCTGTAAACATCCCAAGATAGATGCTGCGTGGTTTTAAATAGAACCCGGGTGGGCAAGAATCCAGCGCGAAACACGCTCGCTCTGGCAAAGCAGGTTTTGGTTTAATGGGACCACAGCAATTCTGGGTAGCGGTGGAGGGGGGAGGCGGCAGAAATCCGGCAGGTTGCAGGAGAGACGTGGAGTGGAAGGGCAGCAAGGGAGCCTCGCATGAGCTGAACTGTTCTGGGGACTGAGGGGAGCAGCAGTGGCTGGCACGAAGAGCTGAACGCTACCAGCGCTGCGTTTCTGGCCCTGCCTGCCCAGGGCCCGCCTCGGCCTGGAACGTGGTCCCAGGTGCCCCTTCAAGCTAGTCTGGTCCTCGGGCAGGGTGGGGTTCGGCCACCCTGGGCCCTGGTCCGCCACCTCGGGTGGAAGTCACCTGGGCATGGCCCCTCGGCGCAGAGCCCCCGGCTCGGTCCTTGCCATGCCCACTTAGAGGATCTGGTCGCAGGAGAGGAGAGGGCCATTCCTCTGCCCCAGACGGCGGGGACCGACGCTCACCCCCCCGGTTCACCTACCGTCCCACTCCACGCTGGGGCTCTTGGAGGGGCCGCAGGGGCTGGCCGACCGGCGGCAGTCGGCCTCCGCCTGCTCCTGCCGCTGGCGCTGCTGCTCCTCCAGCATGGTGGACTTGTGCATGGCCTTGATGTGCTGGTGGAAGAGGGTGTAGCCGCTCATGGAGATGCCCTGGGGCAGCCCCTGCATGGCTGAAGACACCTGGAGGGGCGGGAGGAAGAGACAGGAGTGGTGGGGAGCCGGGCCGCACCCACGGCCTCTCCCTCCCTGCCGGGTGCCCTGGCCCCACGGGCTGGAGGGGAAGCTGCTTGAGCCGCGGCCGTCCAGGCGGCAGCACCTCTCGGGAAAAGCTTCCCGGCAGTGGGGCAGCCAGACCCACTCCATCTGTGGGGCAGAAAAGAGGCCCCCGCAGGGGACGCGTCTCCCCCATCACAGTGAGAAGGAACGCCTGGCTCCAGCCGCAGCGAAGCCCACGCTTTGCTGGGACACCCACGCCGATCAAGGGCTCCCGGAATGATGGAGCCTCACCAACCGCCCAGGCATGGAGGAGGCGTGTGCTTCCTCGTTTTGGATGCCCGGCTTGGGGTCTGCCAAGCTGGGTGGCTTTCTGCCCGCTTTCCCCAGCCTGGGGCTCTCCAGAGATTTCACCCCAGGCGGTGAAGTTAAATAATATTCCCCCAAACCTGGCAGTGTTTTTTCATCTGTACTATACAGGCTGCAAACACCGTCATTCACTGAAGAAAGTCTCCATGGTTGTGCAGAAGCTGGTGAAGGCTACTTCTGTTTTATCATATATTTTGGAATTAGGATATAATGTAAATAATAATTCGGAGAAAGATAATTACAGGTATATACACTGCAGTGAGCTATACTTTCTATAGGTGTGAGAAATTTGGATTGAAATACATGCAAGTCTTTTTATCTATCTTTTCAACTATCTTTCCACATACCAGACAGCTGAAGAAGACCTCTGAGTAACCACAGGGGGTTATTTCTGGTATAAAGTGATACGGAACAACTGGATCGGATTCTCTTCCCTTCCTTAAGAACTGTATGTTTGCAGCCTGTACTGATGAAGCCATGTGGTTGGACTTTGGGACACAATGTGACCTTTCAGCACCCGGAGAAAGAAAGGCATTTCTCTGTGCTCAGCTGAAAAATACTTGGCGGGGTGGGGCACCATGACAGGTGCCGAGAAAGCCATCTGTGGGCACGCTCCTGCCCAGAGACGAGTCGGCCGTGGCTCGGGACGTACCATGGGCGGGATCACTGCTGCCCGATGCTGAAGCTGCTGGATGTTCAGGGGGCCCTGCTTGATTGCAGGTGAGATCAGCATCTGCCCAGGGGGGCTCAAGAGGGACGGCTTGGAGTCCATGGTAAAGATTCTGGCAAGAGAGGGAAAATGAGATTTCGTTATTTAATGCACGTTCCACCCTTCTTCCTGCAAGGAATCCGAGGAGTCGCTCACAGACGTTCTGTTTCCACGTTATCTTCACAACGACCCTGCAAGACCAGGCTGAGAGCCTGAGACTGGCCCAAAGGTGCCCGGGGAACCTCACGGCCGAGGGTGGACTGGAACTCCGGTCTCCCGAGTGCCGGTCCTGCACAGTAGCCGCTACGGGACAAGCCGGCTAATGGAAGACGGAATGACCACAAGGGTTGGACCGAACCGAAGGTCCACCTGGCCCAGCACTTCATTCCCCCCAGTGGCCAGCGGGCTGCCCATGGGGAGCCCACAAATGGGACGTTATCCCAACAGCCCCCAGCGACTGGGGTGCACGGGCCCCCAATACCAAGGGCAGCAGGGAGCCGTCAGGGCTAGACACAGGCTAGCAGCTTCTGGGCAACTTCTGTGAGCAAACTGGCAGGGCTGCCCAGACCGGGAGCGGGCAGAAGCCTCCCCAGCAGTGCCGATCGCTGGCTGTGAGGAACTCGGTGGCGATCAGGCTGGGCTAACAGGGGCTTCTGGGAGCCGAAGGCCTCAGACAACCCACCTGCGGCCACCCCTGCACTGTGTCCGGCCAGCCTGAAGATTTTTAGGAATGCCCAGGGTGAAGGAGCCGAGCGGGTCCCTCCAACACGCTGCTTGCCCTCTGCCTCGGTTGCGCAGCAGCTGGGACACTGTGACCAGGACGTGGGCCTCGCCTGCCCACCGCCGGAAGCGCCAACTCCTCGCCCTCGTGCCCGCACGGGCTCCCCACGTTCTCCCTCCAAGCGGGGAGAAGGAAGAGGCCCCAGGCAGGGCCTGGCGGCAGGCCTCACCTCTGCCGCTCGGGCTCCCCGTCCACGTCTTCGTCGGCGCTGCAGGTCGCGCTCGAATCGTTGTCCGAGTTGGGCTCCGTCCTCGGGGCGGCAGCCGGCGGAGGCAGGCCGAAGTCCATCCCGTCGGGGGGCTCCGGCTTCTCCCTGGGCAGGGCCCCGTCTCTCTCTTTGGCGTCGCCCTCCGTCTTCACCTGCACGTCGGCCGGGAGCCTCGCTTCGGGGTCGGCGGGCTCCGGCTTGGGGTGGGCAGGGAGGCTGAGGACGGGCTTGCTGTCGGCAGCCTGGGCCTGGCTCTCCGCCTCCATGGGCTCCTCGGCCTCCGCCGGCACCTCCTCCTTCGCCTGCAGGCCGCCGCTCTCGGGCTCGGCCTTGGCGCCCTGCGCCGCGGAGGGAGGGGACGGGCCAGGCGCAGCGGCCCCCGCGGGCTCCTGCGGCGTCTCGGGCTTGGCGGGAATCCTGGCCGGGCCCCCGCTCTCGGGCGGGGCCTCCTCCGCGGGCTTGGTGGCCTCCGCCGGGGACGGCGACGGCGCACTCTCCGTGTCGGAGCTATTTTCGGCACCTGCCGAGGCATTAAGTCGTGTGTAAGCATCCAAAAGGTAATTAAGAGGATTTAACTGGATGCCGGATGATCTACTGCTTAGCGCCACGGGGTGCGCGAGGAGGGGACTGCTCTTCATAGGCCTTGTGCAAGCGCCCCGAATGAAGCCAAGCACAACCGGGGCGGGGGGGTTCGCCGTCTTCCACGAGACGTGGTGCGTGGCATGTGCTTCTTCACCCCACGGCTCGGAGGCCCTCTCCCACGCCCCTGCAGCACTTGGATGCCCCTCCTCACCCGCAGTGGAGAATGGCCTACTCCAGGGGGCACCCTCTGGGTGCATTTGACTAGGACTCCCAGCATTCCTGAGAGCCCGCGGGGAAGGACGGGGTGGTAGTCCCCCCGCACATCCAGAAGGCACAGGGGTGGGCAACGCAGCCTTCGGAATCGACAGCCAGCACCCGCAGGAGGTTCAAGCGGGCCGCCAGAGCTGAGACCAGCCCCGCTCTGCCGGGAATCGGGGCAGCCTCGCTAGCCGGGCGCTCCCAGGGTCACCTTCGCTGTCTTCCGGATTTTCCTCCTCGTTGGACACTTCAATGTCCTCGTCCTCCTGCGCCGAGACCGTGGAGGCCACGCTTTCGCACTGGGAGACTTCGCGCTCCTCGCGGGGGCGTCGAGAGGACTAGAGCAAGGCCGGGAAGAAAGGGGGTCGGGGAGCAGTCCCTGTGCTGCGCGTGCAGCCCTCGGCCAGCCCCACGCGTCTGGAGCCGTGCCGAGCCCCACGCCATGTCCTCCAGGTGGTTTGGGAATGCAACCCCCATCAGCTCCATCTAGCAGAGCAGGGATGATGGGAGGGCTTATCCAGAGCACGCGGAGAGTGCTGGGTTTTGTGTTTCTTAGCTCTTCTACTATACCGCTATCTCATGCTGAGCTTTCAGACTTCCAGGAGGGGCACCCGGTTGCTTTGGCAGCAAACACGTCCTCCGAACGGCAAAACTGGACAACCCCACCAGATCCACCTGGGCAGCGACCAGCCCCGGACCTCCTTCGCATGGCGCTGCCAGAGTGCGTGCATGAACAGGGCGCTGGTCGTTGGTCCAACCGGATCGGGCAGCGATCGTCTCTCGGCCTGCTCCCGCCTCCCTCGCTTCCTACACTGCCGTCCTGCTCACACCTTTGGCCGTTTTTACCCTCCTTGTGGCGCAAGGTGCTCCCTGCAGGATAGCTTGGCCTCTGCCAACCCTGCCGGCGGCTCTCCCCTGCGCCCGCCCGGTCCACCCGCTTGCACGGCTTTGCTCGCGGGTGGCCTCGGCCTGCCTCCGGGCCGGCCGCTTCCACGTCTCGCACTCCCTGCAGGCCACCTGCCTCGGCGCGCCTCTTCCTGCCCGGCACCCGCGCAAAGCCGGCTCCGCTCACCTTTTGCTTGTACTGCTGGAGCAGGCTGTCGAGATTGTGCCTCCGCTTGTAGTTGAAGTAGAAATTCTTGCACTGGGCTTCGCTCTTCGTCCCGACCATCTTGGCGATGGCCGCCCAGTTGCGCCCATGCTCCACCAAGCCTGTCGGAACCACAGAACAACACCTGGTCAGCTGCTGGGAAACCGGCTCCCCTCGGCGGAAGAGCAAAGGCCGTTCATTTCCAATGGGCCTGGAGGGTTATAAAACTTGCCGCTCGGCTGCCGACAGCCGAATGTCTTTTCCTCTTTTCTCGAGGCAGCTCGCCACGCGAGAGGGATCTGCCGTTCCAGGCGGCCTCTGCCACAGAGCACGGGCCGCGCTGCAGCGTCCTAACGTTTCTCGACACGCTGGCAGGCACCGGAAGCCAGAGTGCAACAGCCTTTCGAGGGATGGGCAGGGAGCAGGCAGGCCCCTGCCTGGTGATGGGGCTCCCTTGGGTTGGCTTTGCGCCAGTTCCGGGTGCTCCTCCCAGCCTGCCCCGCAAGGCCGTTGTGCAGATGAAACAAAAAAAGAGGGCGATGACAGAGGCAGCCTGGAGGAAAAGCGGCGGGATACTGAAGTGCACCTGAGTCAATTTTCCAAGTTGCTCCTGTGAAGACGGGGGTTAGGAGACTCGGGACACGCACAAAGGGGGCTCCTTCGTCACACAGCACACAATTTGCTGATGACCCTCGGCACTATCAGGAGTGGATGGCTTTGGAAGAGGACTGGACGATCTTCAGGTGGGCTGGCTATCGATGTTTACTAGTCCTGGTGGCAAGAGCCTTCCCCCACCGTCAGAGGCAACATGCCTGCACACAGCGGGTGCTCGGGGACGTGGGCAGGAGGGTGCGGTGTTGTGCCTGGGGCAGCTGATGGGCAGAACGGTGGAGGAGACAGGGCCTTCCTGTGAGCCAGCGGGACTCTTCTCACACTTTTTTTAAGGCAACAAACAGGAGGCCGTTTACACACCGGTGGCCTTACTGGGCACCCTGACCGAGAAAGGCTCTCCTTCACGGGTCTCTCTTCTGCAGGAGGAGGAGGAGGAGGAGGGAGGCTGCTGGAAACCCAGCACGGCTCCAAGAGAGACAGAGCAGATTTGGGAGGGCAGTGGGGAGCAATGGGGTGAGAAGAGGGCGAGGAGGTCTCCTCGCCAGTTGGAAATGAAGCCAGGTTCAGCCGAGGAGGCACGGAGGCCGGGAGAAGCGGCTCTGTGGCTTGGATCCTCGTGGTCCAGACCTCGCTCAAGTGCTCAAGAGCACAGGCTTTTGGGAGGCAGGATGAGACCGGAGGGACTGTGGCAGGCCACTGCGGCATGCGAAGCCCGGGGGAGCCTCGCAAACAGAGTAAAGAAAGAACTGTGGCTGCAAGTCCCCCAGAGACATGCCTGCAGGTACGCCGTGTTTCCAAGCGAGCCCTGGATGGCACCTCTGCAAACGGAGGTGAAGAAAAGGGGTGGGCTGAGCAGCGCCCCCAAGCCGGTTCCGTCCCACAGTGCTGGATGGCCGGAGTTGCGGCTCGAAGGGACGGCGGGGCTGGCGGCTTTCCACGTGCAAGCGCGCCCTGTGCTTCTCCCCTCCCGAGACAGGAATTAGCCTTGTTTTCCACACAGCAGGACTCGAGCGCTCGGAGGAGCAGAACTCTCCTGAGGTCACGCCATGTCAGTGCCAGGAATAAATGCATTTAAAAAGCAGTTCTCCTGACCTGGCAGCGGCGAGGGCTTATCTGCAGATCACGCTGTCTCCCCGCTTGACATAACCTAATTCTCCCGAGGCCCTAAAGCTGCTAACCCTGCTTCTTGGCAGGCAGTATTAAGCAGAATGTGGCAGGCAGGCAGGCAGGCATGGTGGGCTGAGCACAGAGCTCAGGCAGGAAAGTGGCACCATCCACACAAGGTGGAAGGAAGGGCTCGAGGCCGAAATCCTCCCCGGGGACCTTCTGCAGAGCTGTGGCTTTGGGGTCAGAGCTCCCCCTAACTGCAAGGATCGTTGTTTGTGGGCCAACAGGAACAGACCCTGGGATCCACCCGGAGTGCTCCGGAGTCCCCCAGGACCAAAGGAACACCGGGGAGTCCGCAAACGCCCAGGGGAAGGAACCGAGCGCCCCCACCGCAGCCTGGTGCCTGCCAGACGAATGGAACTAGAATTCCCATCTGCCCGGCTGATTGAAGCTGTAGTCCAGGGCAGGTTGAGAAAGGATGGGGTATCATTATCCTAGCAGAAAGCCGGGCCGGCGGCCCAGGATCCTCTGTGTGGGGGCAAGACCGCCTCATCAAGAGCAGATGTTGGCAGAGGTGGTCAGGACAGCCAGGAAGAGGCAGCGTTGCAAATCAGAATGAGATTGGATCCAGATAAGGGGGAAAGCAAACCAACGGGGGCGGGGGGAACCCGAAAAGGCCCACAGTCGTACGCAGGCCAGTGAGTCAGACAGACGCTAATCTTTTAGTCTTCCAGCTGCAACAGAACCTGGACTAGTTTGGCTTTTCTGTTTGCTTTCGAACCGAATGTTTTGTTGGAAGGAAGGTGATAACGTTACCAGGATGTTAACCAACTATAACATTAAAAAAACAGAACATGAAAATTGAAGATTGGTGGCCCTGAGCACAATGACTCATAAGCACAGAAAACCCAGAACATCTGGGATGGTTTTATGCTTTTAGGTCGCCTGGGGAACCGTGCTCTGTCCTCTTTCAAAGCTCCGGGAAGCTCCGGTTGTACAATTAAGTGCTGCACTGGACGGGTGCAGCATTTGAATTTGTCTGAACTGTATTCTGACCCTCGCAAAACTGGTTTTGCTTTGCTTCACTTCTGTATGCAACGAAGTAGATAAAGATCTGTTTGCCTGAACTGAGAACTAGCTTGCTATGATGCGTTTTAGGTGTCAGCTCGTGTTATTTGCAATCGCTATCTAATCCCCAGGTGTTCTTGCTGCACCTGCAGTTGACCATTAGCTGGAATGACCTCAACCCATTAAACAAGTTCCAGCCACTTTGCGCTGATATTCACATGGTCAATTGTGATATTTTCTTTTTAAATCTTGGGTGAGCAGGTATAAAACAAAGTTAACAGATGAAGTTGTTGGCCGAGGTTGGGGGGTGGGGGAGTGTTGCTAGGTCAGCCCCACATTCCAGGGGCGGTCCAGGCTACGTCTGGGGGCAGGAACAGCTGTGGTCGCCCCGTCCCATGACCCACGCCAAAAGAAAGATGGGGGAGCGTGGCCCTGCTGGGATCCAACTGGGGCAACTGCCTGAGGCAGGAGTAGGGGGTCCCACCCTGTACCGGCTCTGTTCCTGCATGGACGGCTGTCTCCAGAGGGGCACGCCTGGGAAATACGGCTCAGCCCCCACATGGCATGCCCGCATGCTCTCTGACATCTGCATGTAACCGCTGGGACGTCGGAACGCCAACGTCTCCCGGCGTTCTGGAGCGCGCCACCCCCGTGCGCTGGTGCCCTGTAACTCCATTTCTCTTGCCCGTCTTCACGGGGCGAGGCTGCGCATGTGCTGAAAGGGTTCCTGGCTATGAGAACAGGTTTGGTGACTGCTAAGAAACGGATGCTCAGTCCAGGAAAGATGGAGACCCAGCTTGCGGGTTGCTCTTCTGCCTGGCTGGAGGGTGTTCTGGACAGAAATGCGGCAGGAGGTTTGTGGCTTGGGGGTCTGCTGAGCCCGGGGGGCCTCAGTGGTGGCCTAGCTAAACTCCAACCTGGACAGGGAGCGTCTGGCTTCAGTCATTACACTCTGACGATCCCCCAAGCTGGACTACTGCACTATATTCTGCGTGGGACCACTCCGGAAGTCTGTACAGATGCCGCGGCTTGTGCAAAACGTGGCAGCCGGATCAATAACTGGGGCAGGAAGGTCCCCCATGGGAGATCAGTTCTGACCTACTGGAGCTGGCTGCCCGTCAGCTTCCAAGCCCAATTCAAGGGGCTCCTTCATCTCCAAGTCAAAGCTCTTCCTGGTGCACTCCCCAACCCAGGTGCTGGCCAGGTAGGCCAGCATGGCAGGAGAAGAGATTAGGGGCAGGGAAGAGAGCCAGTCCTTGTGGCTCAATACAGCTTTCCCTCAGAAAGAAAGAGCCTCTGGGCAGGGATTTTGGGCAAGGCTGGGCCCCAGCCTGACGCCCGAGAGCCTTTTGAGCTGGTGGTGGCAAGAGCAAGCTGGGCTCCTACAGCACACAACAGAAGCGCTCCACCGCGATCAGGAGACTGACATGCATCACACGTTTTCAAGAGTTTCCTTCTCGTCAGTATGTCCCTTTTTGGAAAGGAGCCCCGAAGAACACACAGAGAGAAAGTGATGCAAAAACCCATCTCCGAGAACCGCTCGCAAACGATTCCTGTATTTAAAGCACTTGCTGACAGTTTCGGCCACAAAATGTTTGTTAGAGGAGAGCATTTGACTGCAACTATGCCCCAAGGAGGGAACCTTCCCAGACTGATGCCTTCTCACCCATGTTCCACAGCAGCTGGTGTACCTGGAGGGCCACAGGTTGGGGAGTTCTGCCCCAGGCTGACCACCACGCGTCAACACAGGTCGCACCCCCATGAAAGAGTGCAGAGAACGGTTCAAACTGGTACGTAGTACCTCAGACTGAGGGATTTTCCCGTCCTGCCGGAACCTGCTTTGAAAATTCTTTGCAAATTTGGAAAATCCTATCATGCCAGAACCCCTTGGGCTGTCCAGCAGAGTATCCAAATGCCCTGCGAGCTACACCTGGGCCTGAAGATTTTGCGGAACAGGCCCAACCAAAAGAGCGATACAAAACCGCAAACAGAACCGCTTGAAAACAGAAGTGAAATGCCGGCTTTGCACTGGGCTTTCCGGTCACAGAGGGTACACGTTGGCATCCCAAGATCTGCCAGGACGTCCCCAGAGCTTGGCAGAGAAGAACATCTGCTTGCATGTGGCAACTTCCAGATTCAGTGCTGGGCGATCCCACACCGTGACTGGGAAGGAGCCCTGCCGGGCGGCTGCATACAGAGCACCACGACTGTGGACCGACCCGCTCTCCTCTGTTCTGGCAGCCTTTAAAAGCTTTCGCGTGCTCTGCCTTGCCCTGAACGGTCGCGCGCTGTATTGCCCACATGTGCGGCATCTCATGCGCCACCCCCCCCCCGGTCAGTTCCTTTCAAAAAGAAGTCGAAAGAAGAGGAAAAGTCCCTACCACTTTTGGCCACTTCCATTTCTTCCTCGGTCCAGCGGGAGGTCTCCACCGGCTCTGCGGAAGCTGGAACAGAGGAGAGGAGAGAATGAGAGCGCGCGCGAGAGAGAGAGAGAGAGAGAGAGAGGCAGGACGGCGTCAGATGGGGAAAGGGCCAAGACTCGCGCTTTTCAGCATAATCTATTAATCTGTTTACATTAAGGCCTGCTCAGGGCATTCGGGAAAGATGCCGGCTGACAGCGGAAAGCAGTCACTCCTTATTACATCAAAAAAATAAGTGCAGGGAAAGAGAGACAGAGATGGAGACAGATGCACACCCGGGGTGGCTGCGCCTGAAGAGGAGGAGGTGGTGTGAGAGCGAGTCAGGAGGGAGGGGGCGCAAAACACTTGAGAAAGCCTCCTCTCCCTGAGGCACAGCCCCACGGACGGAACGGGGACCCAAAATGTGGGGCGTGAGCCACTGCCAAATGACTGGGCAGTCACAGTCCCTGCAGGGCCGTGAGCGGCCCCCTCGCAGCCTAACACCGGAACGGAACCCTGGGTTAGAAGAACAGGGCAGCCAACAGGTGAGCCGGGGGACAGTGGTCCTGCCCAGGATGAAGAGCCAGTGTGGCGTAGTGGTTAAGAGCGTGGGACTGGGACTCAGAGGATCTGGGTTCAAGTTCCCGCTCAGCCTTGGAGCCAACTGGGTGACTTAGGGCCAGTCACAGACTCTCAGCCCAACCTGCCTCACAGGGTTGTTGTTGTGGGGATAAGATGGAGGAGGAGAGATGATGTAAGCTGCCTTGAGCCCTTCGTAGGAAAAAGGCAGGATATAAATCCAAAAATAAAGAAATAAAATAAATAAGAGTGCCACCTACCCCATCTCCTGATATTATTTGGGGTGTGCTTCCTTGCCCCCCGCCCCCCCCCCCGCAGTCTGTATGAAGGGCTTCGGGGGCCAGGGTGCAGCGCATAATTGAGGGGCAGGAGCTGTCCTCTTCCACACAACTGAGTTCATTATTTTTACTGTACTTTCGGCCCTCCGCCCTTCCTTCCCAAGCACTTGCGAGAGGACACAAGGCTCTCTCCCAGTGTTCTCCTCACGACGACCCTGTGAGGCAGGTAAGCCGGGGTTCAAGCCCGGCTGCTTCAGCCCCAGGCCGGCCTTTTCCCGCTCGTCCCTGATGTCGGCCTGGTGGATCCCTCGAGGCCGTGGGGTCGTTTAACCTGCCAGCTCTGCTACTTGAGAACTGGCCCACAGAGAGGCAGAATCCAGCAGGCCGTGCCTGGCAGCAAGCCTGTGCCCGTCGCCTACAGCTGGGGGCAGTGGTGCCGTGGGGGGGTCCTTTTGCACCCCATGTCCCGAACACACATGCCAGGACCTATTTGCTTGAGCCCGGCATGCTTTCCAAGCCAGGCAGGAGACGAGGGAAGCGCATGAAATCCTCTTCTTCGAGCCAACGGGGTGACAGCACTCCTGGGTGCCCCCGAACCCTGCACAAACCACACCACTTGAGAGCCTTCAAGTTCACACCGTGTCGAATGCATCCTTTGCTTCCTACAATCAAGAAAAGGAAGCTTTTCCCGAGCGACTTGGGCAGCCGGGCTATTTGGCTTCCCACAGAAAGATGTTTGGGGGGGCCGCACCCCTTCGGGTGCAGGATTAAAATACAACCAGGACCTCACCTCGAAAAGTCTGTGCTGTTAACTCTCCCTCTGGCCAAAGATGTTCTCTCCACGGCTCAGTGGCCCTGAGCTGGACACACCTTTTAACTGCGCATGTGTGTGGAATCAGATGTTTCCCTGATGCCCGCTTCCCATGCCAATTTTAGTTCTGGCCTTGCACCATCAAAGCTTTCATTATGCTTTTATCGTGCGTTTCCGGGGGGTCAGATTACTGCAAACCACTCACAGCTCTGGCGACTGGGAGGGATAGACATGCCACTGATAAGAAGGCGCCCATCAGGCCCAGCTGGCACAGCCACTGGTCAGGGAGGAAGGGAAAGGGAGGCACGGGAATCCCCCATCCCCAAAGCCCTGCATTCAGGGGCTGAAGCATGGCATCCGCTGCCCGCCCCAGGGCTAAACTTCTGTCAGGAACACAGCAAAGCTACTTCTCCCAGAGCCAGACGCTTGGCTCAGCTACGCCAACGCAGCGGACGCTGACGGGCCGCAGCAGCTGTCTGGGAAGTCAGGATGGGAGCTTTGCATAGAATCAGAGAAGAGTTGGAAGGGGCCCTGAAGGCCATCAGGTCCACCCCCCTGCTGTTGCAGGACACCACGTCACACCATCCCACTCAGGGGACTGCCCAGTTTCTTGTTGAGTGTCTCCAGGGTGGCAGAGCCCCCCACCTCTTCAGGCAGCTGGTCCCACTGCCCTACTGCTCTGACCATGAGGAAGCTTCTCTGATGTTCAAGGTGTTGGTGATGACCTGTAAAGCCCTAAACGGCTTGGGTCCTGGTTACCTGAAGGAGCGCTTACATCCATATATGCCCGGCTACCCCTTGAGATCTGTAGGAGAGGCCCTTCTTCGGGAACCCTCCGTGAAAGAAATTAGGAGGGTGAGTACCCGGAGGAGGGCCTTCTCTGTGGTGGCACCCAACCTATGGAATGCGCTCCCCAGAGAGGTCCGCCTGGCACCGTCGTTATTTGTTTTCGGCACCAGGCCAAGACCTTTTTATTAAAATGTCATTTTAATTGTTAATATTATTGGATTTTATCTGGCCAGGGCGGCTTATTTTATATTGGTATTTTTGCATTTTTAACTTAATGTTTGTATTTTTTTAATTTAATGTTATAATTATTTTTTTAACTTGACGTTGTAAGCCGCCCCGAGGCTTCGGCGAATGGGGCGGCATAAAAATGTTTTATTTAATAAATAAATAAATAAATAAATAAATGTCCAGCCTGAATCCGGGTTGTCACAACTTGAATAGATTATTCCGTGTCCTACACTCTGGCATTTCCCTGCCCTTCCTGGAGCTTCCTGGAACTGGCAACCTCAGCACAGGAAGCCGAAGTTCTGCTTCCGAGCCCTTCCCACCCCAGCAGACACCTGTAAGCAACCGAACAAAACTCATTCCACACCGAAGCTCATTCTTCATACGGGGGTTGTAGCAGGTATGTTTTTACTACGCTGTTGTCGGCTCAAAGTACATTGTGTCCCTCTGCAAACCTGTGGCTCCACTGAGCAGTTGATTGTTCTGGTTTCCTGAAGGACCCAGTTTGGTTCTGTTTCTGCTGGCCCACATCAACCAAATCCACTCCTGGAAGGAGGGATTTTAGCTGGCAGGAGATCGCATGCAGGCGGTGTTTATTTTTATTTTTTTATCTCCTCTCTTGCGTTTCAGCTAACCCTCTGAGCCCAGGATTTCACTGCACCGTACTTCTGATTGTAAAAAGAAATAACTACATAAATATATCTATTCAGCAGTTATTTCCCTCTCAGGCAATGGATGGGAGTTAACTGACCAGGGCTATTGTCAAGACTGAACATTCATTGAATTTCTTAAAACATCAATGCCATGTGTGCGATGTCTCGGCAGATAGGGCTGACCTCGTTTGTGTGTTTTTATTTGCCGCCCATTCTTTCAACTAGGACAGCCAGTCCTTGCAGATAAAGGAAAAGCTTCATACCAATTTGTCTGGAAAATATATTAACAAAGCTGGGGCTTTGGGGGAGAGTACGAAGGAAAAAATGAGTGTATAAAATGGTTTTTTGTTCATCTTATTTGACTGTCTGGCCGTAGTTCTTTTTTTCTTATGGGCTGCATTGTTCTGATTAGGGCCGTGGATAACTCGCTGCTGTATTGTTGTGCGATTCATCTGACTTTGGTTATGCTTTTACGGTGTTCCTGTTATGGAAGCAGGAGTGTGGGTCAGTGGCATGCCAGATCCCAAACCCTGCCCTCTCCTGTGAAATCAGGGGAAGGTGATGTATCTCAAGCTAGAACCCTGGGATGATTCAGACAACTCCAAGGTTCCCTCAGCCGTTGGCTCTGCTGGCCAGGACTGATGGGAGCTGTGGTCCGGGAAGGTCTCGTGGGTCACACATTTTGCCCACACCTGCCTTAAAACGTAGGGAGCAGCAGCATCTCCCCCAGCAGAGCCGGGTGTCCTTTCCATGGGGCTGAAGACTCTGGCTACAGTCAGGACCACCAGGAAGCTGCACCCCCGCCTCCCCAAAGAACATCACAGCAAGGGAGTGGACCACCCAGGCCCCAGAAGAAAAGGAATCCTGTGGGGAGCTTGTTTCATCTTATAAAAGAACTTTAAAGCTAAGAACTGGCGCCTGGGCTTTGCTTCTTTTTTCCTCCTCCCTCCCAATCCGTTTTCCTCTTGTGTCGTGAATTTGAGATTCTAAGATGGATGGCAGGGACTAGCAGTCACCCTGGGAGGCTTGGTTCAGTGGGAAAAGGCACCCTTGCTGGAGGCCGGGAGAAGCAGCTACAAATCCCCACCCGCATCGGTGGAGAAACTCTGCCTTACGCCAAAAGTCCCTGGCTGGATTCCCCAGTGCTCGGAGGTATCCCAGAAAGCCACTGGGATACAAGGGGAAAACAGCATGTGAGGACAGCCTGCGGTAGAATCCAGGGGGAGCGAACAACTGATGCCACATTTTTCCCTTTGCCAGAGGTCTTGCGGATCTTACTGATCACAAGGCGGGAGAGATGCATTCTTCACAAAACACACAGGCAGGCAGCCTGCCCTTTTCTTTTCTTTTCTTTTCTTTTCTTTTCTTTTCTTTTCTTTTCTTTTCTTTTCTTTTCTTTTCTTTTCTAACTCTGCTTTCCCTAAATAATTTTGCCCTGAGCTGTGCCCTCAGAGGACTGGAACGCCGGAAGGATTAAAACCCGGGCACAAGGGTTGCCAAGGCTGCCCGTTGCCGCTTCACCTGGAGACGGCAAGACGGGACGAACGGCTTTCTGCACGCAACCCACGAGCCCTCTCCACAACCCACGGGCCGCCCGACGTCTCCCTTCTGGGGCAGCCAGCAGAGCACGGAGCCCAGTGGCTGCCCTGGGGCCCGCACGCTCCTGCCAGTTCTTCACCGCACCCTTCTGCAGAGGTAGCAAAGGGAGGGTCACCGCGCAGCTTCGGGAAGGTGCATTTTCAGTCCCCCAGAGGCGGCCCGACCCCACTGGCCCCAGTCCCCCCGCTGGACCACGCCGCCTTCAAGCTCCACTTACAGGGTTCCGGTGGCGCCGGCAGCGGAGGAGGCGGTTCCTCGGTGGCGGCTGCGGCGGCAGCGTTGGCCGCGGCAGCTTCGTTGGTCATCGACCTGGTGATCCGGCCCTTCCGGCGGCCTTGGCTGTTGGCGGTCTTCCGGCCTCGTGGGGCCACCTCGGGTTCCTCGGGGACGGCTTCAACTTTGTCCTTCTCCTTGATGTTCTCCCTGGGAAGGAGGCAGAGAGTGAGCCAAGGAACAGCGTGACTTCCTGACCCGCGGGCTGCCCCCCGTGCAGCTCCCACACCAAAGGAGCTGCTGGAGCTGGAAGCTGGTTCCAGGAAAAGATAACTTAAAATTTAACGCAGGACGGGATTCGAACATGGCAAGGCAAGTCTGTCTGTTTTTGGGGAGTGCTAATAATACCAAACGCACATCAGTTCTTCTAGCAACTGTGACTAGGATGTGGTAGGCTGAGCCTCAGGTTCAAATCCCAGCAGAGCTGGGTTCAGACAACTTGATAACCCATGTTTTAACAATCACCCACTTTTAACCCATAGTTTAAGGGTTAAAATCCTTCCTTGTTCGGGGATTTTCTATTGTTAAGGTTGGTTTGATTTATGTTTATTGAACCTCAGCCTGATATGCAAGAGGAAGAAGGCCAATGTAAAAAGTCATTTTAATCAATCAACAGAAACATTTCCTAGTAACTTTTAGAAAATCTAAGATAGATACTTCCCTTCTCAAGAAGGGAACTATCTACATAAGAAAGGACAAGCCACACACATTCAACACACAATGAAAAAGAAATATAGAAGACTCACTTGGACTCTTCCTTCTCGTCTTTTTCTTCTTCATCTCTCTTTTCCTCCTCCTTTTTCTCGGTTTTCTCTGCCTTCTCCTCCTCTATTTTTTCTTCGACTTTTTCCTCTTGTGAAGGACGTGTGATTTGTTGCTGAAATGAAAGCAATTCGAGTTATACAACAGGGTTAACTGGGGCACTGGACCTGAGGTTGCATGAAGAGCGTAAACTCACACAACAAAATCCAGAAGGCCCAAAGTCGGATATGCAAACAGATGCACCAGAGAGGAAACCGTGCCACATAAGCATAACCTTACAAATGCCATCACCATAAACCTTTAAGCATTTTTTCTGATTTATATTTTAATTGTATTTTTATCATCTGTTTTTATGGACTGTGTGAATCGACTAGAGAGCTTTGGCTGTGTGGAGGTATAGAAACAAACAAACAATAAATCTTAAGACATCGGGAAGAAAAGCAACAACAAAAATGCATCCTCGAAATTAATTTAAAAAACAAACAAAGAGCCACTCTCTGCCAGTTTACCTTCAAAAAGTATTTTAAAAGGAGAAGTTCCACGGTGAATCCTCTAGCACTGAATTTTACTCACCACAGCTAACTCGGTAGGTGGTGATTTATATACTGGGCAATGGGGTGGACCTGGGCCTGAGATTAATCCTGCATTTCATGAAAACCTGAGTTCTTAAGAATACAGCGAAAGAAACCAGGGTGAACAGTTTTTATAGTAAATGAAACGGATGCCCTCCTGTCAGGAAGGATAGTGCCCACGGAGCAGGGCCAAGCTACAGGCTGGAATGGTTTGGAAGAGTCACGCGGTGTCCCCTGGAGAACCACGGGAAGGGCCAATCCCCCTCTGAGCTACAGATCTCCCAGAGAGAACACCTGGCATCCTGGCTCGGCTTCAGTTCTCAGGATGCTTTCGGGGGAAACCCACAACAGCCAACCTAGCACCCAAGGGTCAGCACCAAGCATTTCTCGCAGGGTACCAACCAGCCTTGCGTGAATTTGGGGAAGACGCCATGAACCTGAATAGCTAGACGCCGCGGAAATCTGAGCCCAGCCCCAGCTGCTGGCCATACGCTCCCTCCGGCATCACAGGCAGGATGCTGGGGAACATGGGTTGGAGGGTACAGCTGCACTCATCCTCTGCTTCTGGAATCCTGCGGCCATGGTGAGAACAGAGCACTGGACCAGCCTGGCTCTTCGGTTTTGATCTTAAGCAGCTTGGGACAGACGACTTGACGGCTGCCTGCCCGCCCGTTAAGAATCACAAGGGGGTCCATGTGCCTGGGTCCACCTGGGAGGGCAAATCGGAGGCTGCCTCCACAGGAAAGGGCCTTTTTCAGAGTAAGTCCAGCATCAGTCCAGCAGACGTTGCAGGAGGCCTTGAAAACTTAGAACTTGACGCAGGCCGTGCTCTGACCATATTTTATCAGACTGGCTGGCAGCTGCAGTTTTTCGTTGCCGTGTTTATTTACGCCGGCGCTGCTGGTTTTCAGAATTCTTGCAGCTGTCCTTTTAATTGGGTTTTCAATCTTCCTATTAGCGTGTCACTCTGGGCTACAGGTTTTATTGTTTTACACCACCTGGGGAGGGCTCCTGTTCTGAAAACTGGCTAAGATAAACTTCAGATAAATTCATCTTTTAAAATATGCCACTTCTGTCCCCCATAAATCAGGGCAGATTTTGACCTGGACCAGCTCAGCCCAAAAATAAGGAGCCTTAACCTCCCAATCCGACGGTTTCTTCTACGGTGGGGCAGTGGCTAGTGGCCCTGAGCAATGGCTAGTTCACATCCTTGCTTGACCATGAAATTCACTGCAGTTTCTCTCTCCCTGCCTAACCTCGCAGGGTTGTTGTTCAGGGGTGTAGGGCAAAGCTCCCTGCACACTCTCCTTGGCGGATGGGTGGAATGTAAAATATGCCAAGATTAAACCACTGTTTGGTAAAGCAAACATTGACTTAAAAACACACACAAATAAATCAAAGTACTCTTCTTTCCAAGAGGAGTAACTCTTCCTAGACACACAAGCACGCCCACACATAAAAAGCAAATGCACACAAGCACAGCTGTGGTTACTAGAAGTCGGCCGTTTCAGTATTCTAAAATACTCCAGCAATATTTAGATTAGTGGGCTGCAGAGCTGGGGCAGATAGACGTGTGCGTGTGCAGGGGGTGGGGGGACACGCTGGATTTTATTTCTGGCCTACAGGAAGACCCCAGAGATGTCTCTGTCTGACTGATTTATTTAGAATAAAGTGTTTGCCAACCCAAATAAAACATGTGACATGGGTGTGACAGATTTTGGTAAGGGGTTGGAGTTCATTAATTTTAGAGGGAAGTAAACTGCCAGATCTGTTCTGTATGGAAGATGAGAAATAACCCTCTCTCCTGTAAGACCGAACCAAGATGCGAGGTTTTTCGAGGAGAGAAAGTCACACTGAAACACAATTCTGGCACAACTGCCGGTGACTTGGGGGGGGGGGGTTGCCCACTGGGGGTGCAACCCAACAGGAACCTGATCAGAGCAGGACCCACTGAGGTGAGCTTGAAATGAGGTGTGGTGGATCACTCAATCCAATTTAATCCATGAATGTAATATCAACAATTGTTGGGAAATTTCAATAAATGATATACCAGTGTTATTCATGCAACATTTTTTTTAAAAAATCACTGTCTGGACACAGGCAAGAGTGTGTGGGGGGCGCAATTTGGTGTTTCTGGCTCAAATACCAAGACTTCTTGAGTTGGCCCCAACAAAATGATTAAGAAGAAAGGACGGACGGATGGACAGACAGACAGACAGTATGAACTGATATGGTACAGTTTTGAAAAGCAAGGCTTTTGTGTATTTTTAAAGGAATATTGTAAACACACACAATCAGGCAGTCTAAAGTTTTCCCAAAACCTCCTTTGCTCAGCCACTGATAGCTTAAGTATAAAAGAACTGGAAGGCACTTTTTTAAAACAGGCATTTTTAGAGGAAAAACAGGATTACATCTCAATACTTTTATCACTAAGAGACACTCCTTAAAAACAAACAGGCAGGCAGAAGCCTTGCTTACGCTCCACAGCACTTACAGCTGAACTCTGGCATTAGCTGGTTATTCCAAGCATTTGTTTAACAAGATTTTGAACGTGCCAAGATTTAAAAGACGTTCGGAGGACCTGTGACACAAAGGGTCAGCTCTGCAAAGTTACCGGGGGGGGAACGGCTCCCCTCCCAGACACTAATTAGAAGGAACCAATCGTTTGCTTCCTAATTTTAAAGCTGTCCCCCTCGCCCAGCTCTCAAAGTAAGAGTAACGAGGCTCGGCTTGGCTTATCCAAACACACGAGCCCATACATAGCCGACCCCAAAAAAGGCAGTTCTGGAAACACAAATCTTCGATCGGCTGAAGCCTTGCAGACCGACGTACCTGCACGCTCATCTGCTGCTTAAAAACTCTTTGACTATCCACAGCCGGGGAGGGGTGGCTGCCGGAGGGATTTTGGGGGGGAAATAAAGCCAAGATTAAAGCTCAAAAGGACCGGGGAAGGCGGCAGAGGACGGCCTGACCCAGCCAAGTTTCGCTTCCAGGAAGGGAGGGGGAGGGTGTCATCCTAGCCGCTGAAGCCGCCTGACCGATGGGAGCTGCCCCATCTCACATGCGGGATGCTAATCCGGCTGGGGTCACGCGAGGTAATCCCCTGCTGCGGGGGGCTTGATGGGTTGTCACAGACGGGCCGCGCTTTTCCGTCTAGTCAGACCGGCCAGCTGGGGCGGGCGGGAGGGCTTGCGGGGGGACGGGAGTGAGCGGCTCGTGCCGGCTGTGCCGCCGGAGCCAAGCAGCCGAGGACCGGCCGGGGGCCCTGCGCTCCGCACCCCCAAAATGGAAAGGAGGGGGAGGAGGAACGCACCCCCATTTCCACCCCGAGCTTGTGCAGCTGGACCCGTCGGCACAGTTGTTTTGTTCAAAGGGGATTTCTAGCTTGCATCTCTCCTGCGTCCGGGCGGGGAGAACTAAACTCCTGTGGAACGAGGAATTTTTCAAACGAAAACTAGGAAGAATTGGTGCCGAGGTTTGTTATTCTACTTCTCCGCTATCTGTTTTTTCTCCTGTATGGTCTATATTACTTTAATACTCATAATTAACTTACTGATTATGTAATACGTAATAACAATAATGCCCATTATTAATTTCCATTATCTGCACTGGGTAAAAAACAAAGCAAGTCCTACGTAGAACAGGCCAAGATGAAATCAATGGGACTTACATCAGTCCAAAACAATTCAGTCCCATTGTTTTCAATAGGTCTATTCGAAGTAAGGCAGATGTCAACTTCGTTTCTGTTGTGACTATTATGTGATACTCTGGTTCGAGTTTTGGACTTGGGGAAAGGAGCTCTGGGTTCTGGTCTTTACCAGGACTTGCAACTCACCAGGTGACCTACCTCACAGGGTTGTTGTGAGGACAAAATGGAGAGGTCTATAGAAGCTGCTCTGGCTTCCCTGTAGGGACAGCAGCATAATAAATAAATTTGCACTCGTTACTGTTATTATTTCTTAGACATCTTTCTCAAATAAAGATTAAAGACTCTAGCTGCAAAATGGACATGCATGGCATTCATGATGTAACTGCCATCACAAAAAACAATGAAAACAGCAGTCACAAATGCTTTCCAACAGATGCATTTAAAAGCTCATTAGATGCCAGTGTGGCGTAGTGGTTAAGCACATGGGACTGGGACTCAGAGGATCCGGGTTCAAGTCCCCGCTCAGACATGGGGCCAACTGGGTGACTTTGGGCCAGTCACAGACTCTCAGCCCAGCCTACCTCACAGGGTTGTTGTTGTGGGGATAAGATGGAGGAGGAGAATGATGTCAGCTGCCTTGAGCCCTTTGTAGGAAAAAGGCTGGATATAAATCGCAATATAAAATAAAAAGTAAATAAAAATAAAATGCTGAGGAAGCTTGAAGGGAAGGGCTGTATTTTCCTGACAGGGGGCAGCAGAGGTCGGCCAACCCGAGGCTTACGGGACCTGCTTTCTGGGTTCGGCTGGAAAGCAGGGCAAGCCGCCGTCCAGGCCTGGGTGCAAAGGGCCCACATACAACTGAGTTTAGGCTCAGCATTTCCCCTTCCCCTGGAGATGCCAGCCGCTGAGAAACAGAGCTGGCCCTTCCTCTCTGCAGTCTTGCCCTGGATGCCGTCTCTCAGTCACACCAGAGCAGGATACTGGGAGCCAGCTACGAACCAGTCCGGCAACCCCACCCATCAATACACTCCCCCCATTTAAAATCCCCCACTTATTCCCCAACTCTCCCTGTACCTGGGGGAGGGGGGCTGACAGCATGGCCCAAACGACCACCCAGAAATGCATATAGACAAGCTGGATTGTTCGGAAATAGATACTGCAGGCTATAGAACAGTTTTGGGACAATCGTGCCCAGGAACCTCGGAGGGAGAAGAAAATGAGGAAGGCCGCTGAGGAGAGGGTGACATTAATGTACAACTGGGTGACTGAGAGTCAGTGTGGCGTCGTGGTTAAGAGCATGGGACTGGGACTCAGGCGATCTGGGTTCAAGTCCCTGCTCAGCCATGGGGCCCACTGGGTGACTCTGGGCCAGTCACAGACTCTCAGCCCAACCTGCCTCACAGGGCTGTTGGTGTGGGGATAAGATGGAGGAGGAGAATGATGTCAGCTGCCTTGAGCCCTTTGTAGGAAAAAGGCAGGATATAAATCGAAAAACAAACAAACAAGGGCAGGATATTTGGGAGAGTGCTTGTTCACAGGGTCCCACGGAAGCCAGAGACGAGCTGATGGCACATAACCACAACATCCGGCTGTTCTGACTTCTTTGCTGGGATGGTTTGAAACAGAGGTGTGCGGCAGAAGCAGCCGGCCACTGCTGCGAGCAAGAGAGTCCCTGCCTTTTCTCCGCATTCCCCCATCCTGGCCCTCCAAATCCGCAGACACCTGAAGCCGGACAGGAGCAGGCTGCCATTGAGGCCGGCCTCTTCTCCAGCGGGGCAGGAGGCTGGTCTCCCACACTGAGCCGTTTTGTGATCCTGAGAGACAGGGGCAGAGCGGCCGAGGCGAAAAGCCGAGCCGCATGCTACCTGGGGCAGGTGAAGGAGACACCCAGCCAGGCTCAACAGCCCCCACGCACGTGGCCAGGACTGCCCTTTCCCAGAATCCAGAAGCCGAATCCCCTTGTTTCCCTTCCTTGGGCACACCGCCTCTTACGGAGGACGCAGCCAGCTCCAAACGACCACAGCAGCCACTTTTAAAGCTGAGGCCACGAGAGCTGCCGGCTGGGACACGTGACTGCAGGGGGGCTGCAACTCTGGCCTCCTTCGATGGTCTGGGGGTGCACAGACGGCAACACCCCTTCCCCCGCCCCCAGCTCCTGACCCTTCGGTGGCTTTCCCAGCCCAGCTGCAGATCCTCCCTGCTGTTCACATGCGCCGTTTGAGTTTGTAGCAGTAAAAGGGCAGAGTTGGCGCTATTTTGGCATCTTGGCCCCCTCCTCCTCTGCCGCTGACCTGCCCTCCGCTGGGACGGAGAGTCTTCAGAGCAGAATTCCACCCCAGGCTGAAAGCAGCTCGGTACTTTGGGGCTAGATTTAGCTGCACTGGTCTTATTTTTGCCCCAAGCCTGGCCTGGCGTTACCTCCTTTGACTGGCTGCTGTACCCGGGGCGCTGGGAAGGGAAGGCTCTTTCCCACCACCTGCCACCTGATCCTTTTCTAACCCGAGATGCCGCTCACGGAACCCTGTGCCGTTCCACTCACAAAACAGAACCCATTTTAAGTCGTTTCCACAGAGCCTTTCTAGGGCTCGCTTCTCACCAAGAAATCATAAAAACGAAAGAAACAAGAGGGTGCATTATAGGCATGGGAATACAAAATATTAGCAAAACTTTACCGGATTCAACATCCAGAAAGCCAGGAGATCAATACGAGGAAGAAGAAAACAGAATAAATAGGGTTCAGTCGAAACATACAAACCCCCTATATTGATTTTCAGCATTACCCAATTGGGAAATTCCCAACCGTGCTGCAGTGCCCACCCAATCCAAGCCAACTGGGGGCCTTCGAGCTGGGAAAGGTTTTAGCATGCCCACCCCCCCTTGAGGCACGCTTAGCTCCTGGGGTTAAGACCACCTTCTTTGAGCAGCTATTTAAGCTTCCATCTGCTCCTTTAATCTTACAGCAATCTGAAAGTTTTCACTACTTCAACATTTTGATCCCCTTTCACTGTTATATTTACTGCTTTGCCTTATGATTTTAAGGTCTGGGGCAGGTTTATCATTGCAAACCTGCTCGAAGGTGTTTGTCTATTGGGCAATCTATAAATTGACCCAATATGTGACATTCCTTTCTGTAGGGCAAAGCACATCTCTAGTTTTAATGCGCGAGAACACCCTTTTGCCTCTGGAATCGGAAAAGGCCGGAAAAGAGGACTGGGTTCAAACAGCAGCTGCACACAACAGAACCACGCACAGAGAAGGCAGCTTTTTCCATCATCATCAACCTGTCTCAGTTATGCAACGCACCTGGTTCCTCCCTCGCCGTTTGCCGTAATTCCTTCGCACCAGTGCCTTGTAGTTCTCATTTTTCTTCGTCAAATAGTAATACAAGACACAGTCTGGAACATTCTGAAGCAAGAAGAGTGTGGGTTGCTTTCTTTGTCAAAGGATATTTCAGAACGGAGTCGCGAACCCCGTTCGAGCCCCCTCTGCTGGCATCACGGAACAGAGTCGTGGAATTTCCTATGTGGGAGCCAAATCCTGCCTTCTAGGGCACCCCAGAAAGCCCGGCACTTCTCCTCTCCTCCCCCCAACTACCTGTTGCTTGGTCAGCTCCTCCCACCCCCAACTCTCAAAGATGGCATGCCTCTTCCAAGGCTTGCCTCTGGCAGTAAAAACTTCACACGCTGGCAAGTCTGGCCCACCCTTTTCGCCTCAGAGCTCCCGCCACTCTAGAACTAAGCCACGGTTTATCAGACCAAGATCGAGCCGCTCCCCTTACAGAGCTTAACAACACACCTTGCAAGGCTTGTCAGAAGAGAGTCACCTCTGACTATTACATTATGCCGTGACAGGAGAGGGGTAGTGCAGTCAAGCCACCCTTCCCTGGATCAAGATTGTGACTTCCAGCCAAAACAGAGGCCTACGATATTTGGACTGGCACCCTGAGGACAGCCCCCCCACATTGTTTCAGGAGGGGACAATGCCAGACCAAAACTGCGGTGCAAATATAGGAAAAGACGCCGGTCACTTATCTGTGGCATCTAAATATCATGCAAAACACTCTCACCCTACTGCATCCTTGGTTATTTAGATCTGATTTTCACTTGCTTGGTCTGAGCTTACCAAAATTGGTGTTGACCAGATGGTTTCTGATGTAGTAAAAAAAAAAAAAAAAACTATATGAAGTTGCTCTTGATTTGAACTACTTTTTAAGAGCAGTACGTGGGCTGTTTTTATGAACTGTGTAACTGCCCAGAGAGCTTCGGCTGTGGAAGCCAACAAACCCCCTCACCTTTCTTTCTAAGTAGGAAGCAATCAGGCCAAAGTTCTTCGGGTGCTGGACAAACCTGTGTACGAACACAGAAAGAAGTCAGGTTTGGACAGGCAGGCGGTTCCAGCAACACCCCTCGGCTCGCTCCCTGCGTTTAGCCTCCGCAAATCCTATGCATGTGCCCCGAGAACTGGCAGCCGTTGCTGGCCACCCGCGCTGGTTTCTGAGGCTCCATCTGGCTTCAGCCACATCACCTCAGCTCTTACCTGCACAGACATCATGACTAGAAGCATGGACTTCAGGCATTTTTAAAGGAAAGTCAAGCCATTGCAGGGCCCGGCAGCAAATGCCACAGTGCAAGGAAGCTGCTTTCTCACAACACACCACACACACACACACAGCCCTGAATGGGCAATAATGAACTCTTTGCTTTCTGAAGGCGGCCTTTCTCCTGCGATGGAGCCCAGGACAGGTTAGGCTCAGAGGGAGCAGCCGGCCGAGTGGGAACTAGAACAGACTGCCCAGGTCCCGTATACTCCGACCACTGTACCACACTGCTTTGGGGATCAGCGTCGCCCAGAAAGACCCCTTCCAGCTGTTTTGTCAAAGTTTAATTCTCCCCCAGCAGAGGAGCCAATGGGTGCAACGGGCCTTCAAGGGGGAGATGCCGGGAACCGTCCCAGGGAATCGGGTTCAAGCGGCAGCCCTTCCAACCATCCCTGCCGATTCCAGAGGTCACCTGTCAGGTGCGAAGCACCAGCTTCCTTTGGGTTCCAAACAGCGGGTTTGGGCTTTCCAGCTCAGAGCCCACCTGGACCCAGACCTTCGGCTCGGGGCCAAGCACCTTTTCTTGCCCAGCCTCGGCAGTTTTGCCTTCCGCAAAATGAGCGGCCCCGTTTCCTGTCTCGGGAACGAGCAAGCCCCACCCACCACCACTGCCACTCCGCAAGAGCACCCCCCATGCTCCACAGGTGCCCACCAACCCAGACAGGGGCCTGCTCCCTACCCCTCAGGTACAGCCCTCCCCAAAGCTGCCACAGCCCTAAAAGCCAACCAGTGTCTCCACGCAACAGGCATGTCTTCCGTGCCAAATACAAAACACTGATTTTTTTTTTCCTGGGAAAAAAAAATTACTTTTCTTTAAAGATCTCCTTCTCGTGGTCTGTCCAGACATTCATGAACTGCCGGTCCTTGTACACCTTCATGGGGTCTTCCATCAGTCCATTCATGTTGATGAACTTCACACGCCTCTGCTCTGCGTCGAACATCATGGGGGGAATAACTGAGAGCTGGCGCATTTGTTTCTCGTTATTCTGGGCAGGGAGGGAGAGAATCCACACGTGTTTTCTTAGTACACGACGTCGGGCTATGTTTTGTGGGAGCCCAAATCAGTTGCCCCAGAGCCAAAAGCACTTTTAAAAGTCAGCTCTTGTAGTTGCAGCCCAGCCCCATTAAAAGGCTGAAACAGGACCAATCTCTCCGGTCCCAGTACAACCTTCGCAACAGCAAAGTAATGGCAGCCGTTCACAAAATGCCGCACTCGACTGCAAAAAATCTGAGGAGTTTGCCAGTACTGTACGTTCAAATCTCTACACCACATTCGGACAGCAAAGCATCCCAGAATAGACCGAGTTCAAGATCAGTTGATTCGAAAGGCCCCACAAATTCCGGATTAGATTTCTCCAACCTGGGGGCTTCCAGATGCGTGTGGCAACAACTCCCATTCGGCGAGGGATAGGCCGACATACCTCGAGAGAACCACGTTGGGAAAAGCTGCTCTGCAAAGCAGCACGTCAAAACATCGTCGCCCTTCGTGCATGCACATAAACCTTCCCCTAAGTTTCCAGACAGAGCCTGGCCTGGCCACCCCCCATGCTCACCTCCTGCTCCGACAACCCGTCGATGATTTCTGAGATCTCGTGCTCGCTCCGAGCAATGGTTGCCGAAAGACCGGCCCCTCGCTGACCAACCCTGGGAACACATCACAAAGAAAGAGAAGGCCAGGCTGAAAAGGCAGCTGAGAAGGTCAGGGAGTGTTTCCCAGAGCCCACAAGGATGGCCTGCCAGCCCATGGTCACCCCTTTCAGGGCAGAACGCTGCCTGCTGAAAAGGATGCTGGGAAAGAGCTCTCCCTTTCCTTCTGTCCTATCATGGCAGAGCTCAGGATGACAAGAACAGCTGTGGATTCAGAAGCTGCTTCGCATGTCAAGGATGGAGCACGCAAAACTGGACACACCACAAGGTACTGCAAAGGCCAACAGATGAACTCAGCTCTCCTGATGTTTTGGACTTCAGCTCCCAGCATTCCTGACTGTGGCCAGGAGCTCCGGGAGGCTGGAAGTCCCAACCATACGGCGCTCTCGCTTTCATCCACCTTCCAGGCTTGTGTGGCTTGAATGAGAGAAACGAGCTGAATTCAACTGCGAGGAGACTAGCGTCCCTCAACCCGTTTGCCCTCAGAAGTTCTGGCCACGCTGGCTGGGATCTGTGCCATGAGACACACCTGCAGGGCACCAACCTGGGGAAGGCTGGAACAGAGCACCTTGTGATGGGTGAATTTGCCCTGGGTGAACCTGTCATTTATGCAGCCAGTGTGGTGTAGAGCCAGTGTGGGGCAGTGGTTAAGAGCGTGGGACTGGGACTCAGAGGATCTGGGTTCGAGTCCCCGCTCGGCCATGGAGCCCACTGGGTGACTCTGGGCCAGTCACAGACTCTCAGCCCAACCTGCCTCTCAGGGTTGTTGTTGTGGGGATAAGATGGAGGAGGAGAATGATGTCAGCTGCCTTAAGTCCTTTGCAGGAAAAAGGCAGGATATAAATCAATCAATCAATAAAATGCAGCAAGCAGCCAATTTGCCCACGCATGCTCAGCCAAGAGTTTCCTTGAATGTGAAATTTCTTTCCATGTACGTGGGCCTTCGCGCATGCGTAATATCCAGGCACATCTTGGGAGGCGAAACGCAGAAGAGCACAGAGATACGCAACCTTGTGTGCTGACGCATTATGCAGCCCCCTCTCCGAGCAGCTAATTGCCTGTGGCCCGTGAGGTTTCTTTGCCCTAGCCGATCGCCCTGCCAAGTCTGCATCCTCCAACCAGTACTGGGGGGGGGGGGGGGGGGGGTGAGTGGAGGTGCCTGGATGACCAAAACGTCCAAGAGGAGGAATTAGAGGAATTAGAGGATTAGCCAAGCCTAACGGCAAAGTCATGGCTCTGGGCAAAGCAAACGCCACAGACGGACGCATTTCAACATTCGCAACTATTCTGGCAGGTGAGTCGATCTGGTTTTAATGGTTGTTATAGCCTTATTTTTGCTCTTGCCACATTTGATTATAGCACCAGGCTAATTTTATCTATTTATAGCACATGAGTTTATTCTGCTTTATTTAAGCATGTTTTAAACAGTTTGATCCATTGGTTGCTTAATTTTTATGTCCCCCTTCTTATTTTATTTCATACTTTTTATCCTTGTTATCTGCGGATTTTATTTCTTTACTGTTGGTTCTCTATGTTTTATCATGTGTTGTTAAATGTATTATTCTAGATACTGCTCATAAGCCACCCAGAGGGTCTAATGGCCAAGGGATGCAGCATACAAGTCGAATGAATGAATAAATAAAATGAATAAATTTCAGGCAACAAGGGACAAGACCTGGCGGCATCATCACTGCATTGCTCACAGTTTTGGAACCAGCCCCACTTCTAAAAAAAGCAACTCTGTCTAAATGCCTCGTGCCGGGATGACAATTTCAAGCACCGGTTTTGCTTCTGTAAGCCCAGGATGCCACACGCCCTCGTGATGGAAGATCCCGCTTGGTCAATGTGGAGATGGCAGAGATGTTATTTTAGTCTGCATTTCCAAACCAAGATGTGAACCCCAAACTCTGTTTTGGCCACGCTTCTCCTAAAGCTGCAATGGCATTCTCCAAGCCAAATATACCTCTGTTAGAGAACAGTGCACAGAAACAGAAGAATGGTTTGAGAAAGCCAATTCAAAAGCACATGACACTGGAAAAAACCTGGTGGCCAAATGGGATTTTCGGGAAAACGTTAAAAATTATCCATATTCAGGAGGCACTGAGCTTAAGGTCAGCAAAACAAGACAAAATGAGGTTACCACATTCTCCCATCCTGAACTAGAAGAAATTTATCTTCCCACGGGCATCTCAGAAATTAATCATCGTAACGCAGCCTGGCACCTCCATCCCAACAAGCCGCTTGGCCGAGAGGCCTGAATTAACCTTTGGAAGCGCTCCTGCTGCTCCCGCTGCTTTCGGATTTCGGGGAACTGCTTCTCGTAGTATTCGCGAGTCTTGCTTTCCTTCGCTTTGCGGCGGGGGTTGTTCTCGATCCGGTCCACTTTCTTCTCCCAGGCTTCCATCAGCTGGTCATACCGCTGGCAGATCTTCTGCTCCTGGTTTTGAGACACAGAAGTCACATGGGAGAGTGAGAGAGAAAGAAGCCGGAGTTTCTCCACAAAACCGGAAGGCAATGACAGCCTTGGGACCATTACTGAATGGAAGAGGAGTTGCGCTGTGTGGAAGGACTGCCCGGGGTCATCCTTGGCATCCCTGACTGAAAATAAAAAAAAAAAATCAAGCAGTGGGAGGGATGGAGAGATCTCTCTCACCCCCACCGTCCCTGTCACTCGGAATCCCCGAAAAGCAGCTGCCTTGTGAAAGCAGACTATACCAGTTGCAGGAGAGGAGGCAGCCCAGTATGATCCTGGCAGCCCTCACCCACAGGCTTCCAATCCAATGACACAAAAGGAAGAAGGGATGGGGAGGGAGGAGGAAAACAAGGCGGGCGACCTCAAGCAAAGCGGGTGGAACGGCCCCGGCTGTCTCTCCCTTCTCCCTTTGTACAGGCCTCCTGGAATGGAGGACAGCGGCGACGGCCGAAGCACGAGGAGCCTTCCAGGAGGGCCAGCTGAACTTCCACTCTGTGCCTTGACGAGCTCCCAGGACGTGACGGCATTTTTCACTGGGTACCTGGGGTTGCAACCTGAGACACTCTGCACGCACGGTAGTTTCTTCTACGCAGCTAAGTTCCCTCTCCAACACAGGGAACTGCCTTACTCTGTGCTAAAGTCTTTGTCCCTCAGGCCCAGGCCCAAAGGACAACTTCTGTTCTCCTGGCCTGAAAATGCCAGCGTATTCGACTGCACAAGGGGTACAGATATGAAAAGGATGGCCAGCGGCACCGAGAGCAACCAGGCGCTCACAAAGAGTTACGCTGGCAGAGGGACAGAGTGCCGGGGAGGCACCGTGGTGAGAGCGGGGCGCTGGGACCCGCGAGACTGGGATTTGAAGCCATGCTGAGCTCTTCTGGGACCGTCACAGCCTCGGCCTGGCCTACCCTAGAGGGCTGTTGTGAGGATAAACAGAGAGGAGGGCTACCAAGTGAGCCGCCTTGGGTTCCTTGAAGGAAAAAAAAATAACGATGACGACGACAACAACCATACCCTTTGCTTCCTTGCATGATTTCTTCTCTTAAAGAACAAGATCAGCTTTTTCCTCATCACTTGGTTCCTAGGAAAGAGCACACACATACAGAAGCTGGAAGCATGTTTCTGCCCTGCACATTTCTATTTTAAATAACCCAGTTGACAAATTGAGCACACTTTTTAAAAAATCCCAAGCAGATATTTGAAGAACACACACCCAGAAATGCTGTCGGTGCTACCGACCAGTGTTAAGCAACAGGCCTATGTCACAAGAAGGTCAGGATCTTTCCCTTCCAGTTAACGGTAGTTCGTCAAGCTGACCAGAGTAGGCAGGGTGGGCAGAAGCTCTAGTTAGTTTCAACAAGCCAAATTCAAAACTCATGGCTTGAAGTCGGCTTGCTGGAAAGGAACCACGGTTGGCAGTAAGGCTGGAAGCTGGGGGATGTTTTCGCTCCCGCCGACCTGTGGCTGCAGGCAGCCAGGGACTCCCGTGGGGGACAGGCGGGCTCTGTCCCACCCGCTCACCCGCACTTAAAGGATGGGGACTTCTGCAAGAACCAGCCCCTGCCTCCTGCATCACCCGCCATCACAGGCCGCCCTGGGCTGCCCACGCCTGACAAGGCTCCAAGCTGCAGTTGGACGTAATTAATTTGATGGTGGAAAGACGACGCGAGGGAGCCTGCTGTGCTTTGAGCGGTGCAGCTGGGCAGGAGACAGGCAAGGTCTGCAAGGAAAGGTCACTCTGTGCTCGTAACAGGTACTGGGAGATTCTCTGGCTAGCAGCCAGCAAGAAAAGAGTCGAGACCGAACTCCTGGAAATCGGAGAGCCAGGGTGGTGTCACGGTTAAGAGCGCAAGGGTGGGACTCGGGCAATCCGGGTTCTAGCCCTTGCTCAGTCATGATGCCAACTGGGCGGCCTTGGGCCTCAGCCCCACCTACCTCACAGGGTTGTTGTTGTGGGGATAAGAGTGAGAGCAGCAGGAGGAGAATGTAAGCTGCTCTGAATTCTTTCTTCTTCTTTTTTAAAGCAAAAGGAGGGATAGAAATAGTAAACAAGTAAAATAGGTTGGTCACCCATTCAGGTCAGCCACAGCCTCCCAGAGAGGGGGTCTTCTGGCACCGCTTATGAAAGATCCTTACCCAGGAGAGGAGATCGCCCGTGCCATTCAGTTCTAGCACAGATTTCCTCCAAAGGCATTTTAGACTTTAGACCTCACAGTTGTTCTTTACACCATTTCTCCCAGGCTACTTCTAGTTTTTGGAAGCTCTGCTTTTTAATCTCATGTCTCGGTCTTTGAGCCCTTATATAATTCAGCCAGGGGATGTTGCTTATTGGGTTGATTAAAAAAGAGCAGGAAAAAAAGATTCAAATCTCAAGCTTAACCTCCTCGAGAGGCACTTACGTTTTGATGTTTTCATGGTATACCTTCGTGTCTGACGGCTGGTTGTAAAGTGGCTGTAGAAGACAAAGTGTTTTACAATATATACGAAATATAGCTATAAGTATATTTAGTCATTTAATTAAATATGTGTGATATATATAAAAATGTTCCCCCCTCTCTCTGCTCCCACCTGTCCCACCTCCACTCCCATCCATCCTTACAGATAGCAAACCACAGTTCCCTGAAGGATGAGAACACACACAGTAAAAATCTGTATTTCTAATGAATGTGCAGCTTTTCATTTTTATCAAGACTTTTGGCTCCCACCTTCAACAGTAACAGTCTGTTAGTTAAATGCACACATATTCAACTGTGCGATCCGATGCACGTTAAGACAGAAAACCGTACCAAACCCAACATGGCTGGCTGAGGCATGCTGGGAGTCACGGGATCATCTTTTCCTGCCTGAACCTGGAGTGCACGAAATTACATACATCTGGCACTGTGCAACATGAAAGGTGGACATGAGCTCCTTAACGGGAGAGAGAAACAGGAGCTCCTTGACAAAAGGTGGGCACTGCTGAAGGGAGGGAAACCCTCTGCCACAAGATTCAGTCTGAAGAGAGGACTAGGTGCCTTGCTGAGATGCAACTGAGGCCAGAATTCAGGAGAATCCTGGCTTACCATGAACACGTAGCCTGTTCGAGCCCGCCTGGCTCCTCGCTCCAGTGGAAGCAGCTAAACCAACCAGAAATAGAAAAATTAGCATGCTGGGACGACCAAGCTTGCTGAGTCCCTGACAAGCCAGGCTCACAAACCAGGGCTTGTTCTTGGCTCGTGGCTGCTGGCTTGTTTAGGAGCAACAATTCAAGAGCCCCAGTTCGGACCAGACTCTATGCTTCCTATTTCTGGTTCATTTTGGTGCTCTTGCTGGCAGCAGGAGCCCGATGGGAGGAAACAAACCACGAGCGGGACGGGGCAGGCTGCTTGTTCGAGCCGCTTGCTCCTCCCACCAGCAGGAGTGCCTACATTAACCAGAAATTCTCTGGAATTCTGGCTTGCCATCGCCTGAGCACCACCACGACCCCAAACGCAGGGCTCCAAATCCTCCTTTCCTCTCCGCAACGGGTCGCACGCCCTTCTCTGTGAGCAGCACTTTGTGCCACCAACCCCAAATAGTGAACTCCAGGGGGCAGGAAAACTGCGGCCTACAGGGGCCCAGACAACAAGGCAGCCAGGGAGGGTGGGGAGAAACGGCACGGGGACACCAGCTTGGAAAACCACTCTGTGTTTCATCATGTCGCACGGGTTTTGCGTCCTCCTAGGCAGTGCTCACGGCGAGGACTATCTTGGCGATCTTAAGAGCAGGGGCAGGGGAGGAGAAAGCAGCTGTCTCCAATATGCCGGCCTCAAACCTTTCAAGAAAACATTCCCAGCAAATGTCACCAGCTGGCCCTGGAAGTGTGGCTGCCTGGCCCAGCCAGGACAGAGACCGGCCCTCCTCAGCCCCTCCCAAAAAGGCTGGGCCCGCAGACCGAGGTTTTCATGTTGCCTCCCAGGGAAACTCAAGACCCACTGATGGCTAAGGAAGCCCCCCAAAATAAACAAAGGGCTGCTTACCAATTCAACTTTGGGGCCGAGGCCTTCAAAGATCTTATGGGCTTCTTCGGCTTTCTTCTGCAAAGGGGGGAAATGAAAAAGGCATTGTCGGCTTATCCGGAGAACTGGACGAGCACTTCAATGTGACATTTCATATACCCTCCCCGCTTGCTCCAGGCCACATACCTCTGGCAGGGCAGTCAAGGGACTCCCCCCCCCCCTTTTTTTTTAATTGCAACTTTAGGAAAGATTTTGCCTGTCACTCTGAAAGCAGAAACAATTTCACCAGCATGTTCTCCTGTCCACCAAGCTTTTCCTGGAACAAAGGCCTCAAAGGAACATAGAAAGAGTCTGCTGGGTTAGTTCATGGGCCATGAAGCACAGCAGCGAAGGAGACGTGGGAGCAGAGCTATTCCAACAGAAAGCTATTTAATGTTTTCCTCTACCCTCACCGTCCCTTCTTCCTTTAGTGTGTGTTTTCAGACTATCAGCCTGCCTGCAGGGACTGACGTGTTTGGCTGTTATGTGACTCCCCTCCAGAAGCCTCTGTGGCTGGAGAGTGTGCCAAAAACACTTTAAGTGAAGAAAAAGAACCCCTGGTAAGCCAGGGAACAATGTTCTCTTGTTGTACTACTTGGCAATACAGAAGGGACATCCCGAGGCGGCTGTTTGACAACACGCATCTGGACACAGCGGGTTTGTTTGGTCTCCAAACTGCTCCTGGGGGACTGAACTTTAAGCCTTCGCAGCTCCAGCCGCAATATTCCCCCTCCCAAATCAGCTGAGCTTTCGGCACTGCCGAGTGAGCCGTGCTGACCTCTCCTTCCTCCCTGACTGAATTCTTCTCCAAGGGGATTGTCCTCCTGCACAATTGCACAACACAAACCTCTCACACACCACCCCATGTGAGGAGGTCACAGCCCGGTCAGCAAATGCTTGGTGTCAGCACAGTCACCTTGCGCAAGGGGGGGGGCGCTCGGTGCTGGACGGAGGCTGCAGCTCCCACGGCCGATCTCCAAAATGGGCAGGGCGCCTCAGGATGGACGTGGACCACCCAGTGGTCTGAGGCACAGCCCCCCAGTCCTGCCCATCCCCTGGTGACCAGCATGCATCCAAGCGCTCCGGACCCCAGGATCCCACTGCGAGGACCCCCCTGCTTGCAGGGCAAGGCAAAGTGCCAGAGCACCGCTCAACGCAACACCAGGAATTTTGTCCAAAAAAGCACCCAGCAGGTTAGGGCCGTTCTCTGCTGTGTGGACGGAAAACGACTTCCGCCACCTGATGAGATGCGCGATGCAACTGGGCCGAGGGTGCTGGGAGTTGTAGTTCCACAAATCAGGAAGGCAGAAAGTCGGGTGAGGCAGCATTATGCACGTGCGGAAACTGGATTTCTGCGGCCCAAGCACCAGCGACGTCCCTCTCCTCATCCGGGGAGGGAGACTAAAAGGGCCGCCCGGGGTGGGCGCAGTGACGGAGTGACGCCCTCCAGCATGCAGGGAGTCTACTGGGGTGGGGGGGGGGGGGTATCATTCTGCGCCATTCACAACAGGGTCTCCGTGCTCAATTGCAACACACCTAATTTTTTATTTCTCACATTCCTGTCCGGCGGTTTTCCCTCCTGCAGACGAGGGCCAGGATGCCCAGGGCCTCTCGGCCACCCAACTCGAGTTGCAGCAGGCAATATCAACCCTCTCTCAGCCCAGGGGCCAAATTTGCTCTTGGGGAAGCCCTCAGTGGTGGGTAGGGCTGGAGCCAAAGGGGTGGGACAAAATTCCAGCATGTTTGAGTGTAAAGCTCTACCTAACAGTGACAAAGATTTGGGAATCGATGGGACAGCGGGAATCCACCCAACCGCGGGATGGCGGGGGAAGAGGGGGTGGGATTCCTTGAGGGAACCCCGCAGCGGCAGGCTGGGACCCAAGCACTTCCGATTTGGCCCGCGTCAACAGGCCCAGGGATGGAGCCGGCTGTGGCGAGGAGGACCCACAGAACACCCAAGTGCCAGCGCTTGCTCAGAGCTCAAAGAATCGGCAACTGAGAGGCACCCACAGCAAAAGCACGAGCAAAGCATTACCCGGTTCTCATCGTAGATAATCTGAACAATGCTGCGGTGCTTCTGTTCTACCGGCGGAGGAGACACTGGCCGCTCGGGCTCCGGAGGCTTTGCGGCTTCCTCTTCCAGCTGTTGCTAGGAGACAGAAGAGGGGGAGGGAGGGAGTCAGCCATCCATATGGTGCTACTCACACTAGTAATGAGTCACCGGAGAGACAGGTCAGCACCTGGCTCAAGGGCGGTGCTCTGGGGTGCAAACTGGCCAGGTAGGGAGGGGGGGGGAGTTCAGAGACACCAGCTGTGCCCGTCGCACGGAGATGCTGAGCGGTTTTGCAAGACGCTCTGTTGTGCTGGACTGAAGGACTGAATTGGTGTGAGCCAGCCAGAAAGTTTCGGCTATTGGTCAGGGTAGCATTGCAATGAATGGAAAGGAAACTTTTGCCTTCAGGGATTTCAGAGAGATGGAGACAGGCTGTGTGCGCTCAAACACACCCACCCTGAGAGCACAAAATATGTCTCCATGAGCATCTTACCACCAAACTGTACATGGGAGGAAACTGGATTCTGCAACTGGGAAAGCAAACCGGACGAACAAAGGACATCAGCTCTCTGCCCCCAGCAAGCTCTGTACTGTTTGCAACCTTGAGAGCTGCAATGCAGACTACGGTTCCCATGCTGCTGAAGGAAAGCTGGGAAACTTGGGTGTGGAAACCAACATCACAAATAGGGAGTTTCTTCTCCTCCAGAGCAACCTTAGGTGGTGCCCTCCAGGTGTGCTGGGACTACAATTCCCAGGATCCTCAGCTGGTGTTCTTCCCCATTCCAAAGGGTTGGAACAACCCTCCAGAAGCTTAGGGACCACCAGGAAAAGCTTCCATGCCGTGGGATGCCCTCATCTCGTCACCCCTCCCCCCGCCAAGAGTGGAAGGCAACCCCGGAAAGCCGCTCCAAAACGGGATTCACCCCCGAGCCGGAAGGGCTCGCCACCTCGGCTCCAGTGGGCCGCCGAGCTGCCCAGGTGGTTTTGCCCCTGCTCCCCCCGTCTGTCCTGGCCCCTCGCAGCCTCGCTCGGGGCAGAGGGCTAGATGGAGGCCTCGCCCTGCAGCCCAACCCAAGATCCCAGGTGGCTCACTTGCTTCTTCTTCAGTTTGAGGATCTGCTGCTCCACTTTGGCAATCTCCCGGTCCACCCGATCCATGCTCTGGATGAGCTCTTCCTTCGACAGCTTGGACGGAGACGCGTTCTGGTCCTCTCCGCACGGCTGGCTCGACAGGGGCGAGGGGGGCCCATCGTGCTTGCTTCCGAAAGCCGGCTCCTTGCGGTGGAGAAGAAGGACGGGGAGCGTCATGAACGGCAACGAGGCCTGTGCCAAACTCTCTGGCGACTCTTGAGCAAGGACTAGCTGGATAGGGACAGGCGGCGGCCTGCCGTCAAAGTTCCAGTGGCATTTTTAAGTGGCAGCAGGCCTTGAGGCTGACTGTGAGCTGACTGTGCCGCCTGCCGTGCAAGACAGAACATCCGTGGCTTTCTCGCCAGTCAAACACGGCAAAGTGTGGCTGCTTGCGGGGTGCACGCTGACGGTGTTCTGATCTGGAGGCCCGGGGACCATTTCTACTTCCCAAATTCTCCTGCCTGAGAAACCCACTATCCATTTCTTTACACAGAAAAATAAAAGCTTTCTGAAGCAGCTGGAGAGCCCAAAGGGTCCAACTGCACTCGCAAACCAGCTGGCTTTGCCTTCTTTGGAGGTTCACGGTGCAAGGATTCCCTATTTTTCCCTAAAATATATTTAATCCTTTAGTCTGAAGTATTTTGATGCTGCTCCAGAGCCAGAAAGCTCCCAAAGCTGCGTCCATGCAATCAATTCGACAGGGCAGGCTCTGCGGGAGGGCTTACGACTGAGAAAAAGGCACCGCACACGATGGGGAGGAAGCGAGGAAACGCTTGTGCACACACACATTTTTTTCCCCAGAGTTGTTGGGTGATGTGTGGGCCCTGCTTTCTCTTACGGCTCTGAGCCACTCACTCCCATCAGTCTGGGCTGTGGCTCACAGCTGATCTGAGGAACACAGCCAGGCCGGGTGGTATGAGTCCCAGGCCTCCCCAGCTGGAGGTCTTGGATGGGATGGACAACAACTTCCACCGTCTCCCAGCCATGGGAGTTGTTGCCCGATGCATCTGGTGGGAGGAAGCAAAGTCTGGCTTAAAGGGCTCCATGGCTCCAGCCCAGGTGAGCTGAGTTCATGGCAAGGGGCAGAACGTTGCTCAGGCATTGCTCCTTTGGAAAAACACAGCCCTGGTTAAATATTAGTCACCAAGCCGGACTCAAACTTGGCTTGAACTTAGCATCCTACTGAGCAGCCCACGAACTGAATACTGAGCCAAAGAGTAGCGTATCGTTGCCAAACATGTGGGTATTCAAAGAACCCAAACACGGGAGGAAATCATCTTTCACAGCAGCATTTTCTCCCCTGCCTCCTGACACTGTGTGGGGGAAAACGGGTAACTGTCCCAAACAGGGACTTCAGGACGGTGGCCCCTTTGCCCATTTTCTTTCATCACCCTAAAGAAGCCCTGTGAATATCATTTAGTTTCAACAGGCTTTTTACAATAAGCAATTTCCCTCTTGACTGTTTCTGATTAAGACTTGTCCTTGCATTGCAGCTCTGTTTATATATATATTTTTAGCCTGGCTTTGGTTTATTTGTTTTGAAATCAAGGTCCTTTCCTTCAAATTGCAAGCCTCTGAGTACCTCTTGCCTGCGCAGCAATCCAGAAATGCTAAAAAAAATAAATAAACAAACGGAAACCTTCTCCTGGGCTTTATGTTGACTTCTTTGCAATGCTTGTGTTCTTAAGAGTGTAGGACGGAGAGGAAAGGGTGCCCATGTTAGGTACGTTTGGAGAGAAAGAAGGCCTACCGCTCCCTGCGTGGACTGGCCGGGACATTGTCGTGCCCATCCATGCATGGGATCGTGCCCTGACGCTTCAGTGACAAGACTGCGCCGGGTTCACCTGAAAACGGGCGTGCCAAGACCAATCCGAAGAACACGGCCTGTTCTCACTCCAACTCGAGCCCCCACACGACCACCCTGCCGAGTGCAGGCTTTACCTTCTTCAGGTCCGACGACCGTAGCCCTTCCTGCAGCTGGTGGGCCAGCGGCAGGACCGCCGCGGCACTGACCCGCTGGTAATGGGAGTCGGGAACTTGATCCAAGCGCGGCCTCTTCGTATCCAGCGAGTCATGGTCGGCTTGTGATGGGCCGGGATGGAACTGTGACTCATACCCGGATCGCCTCTCCTGAGGCCTGGGAGGAGGGAAAAGAGGTCCCGTAGCAACTGCAGACCCTGCTCAAACATGCAGAACCCTCCGCCCCAGCGGCCCCCCTCTGCGGGTCCCAGAAAGCCACGGCCCCTTCCCCTAACTTCCCACCCTTTGGCGATTCCCAGCTCTCCTCCCTTCTAAAGGGGCGAAGGCCCTCTCCTCAGGCACTCCGCTAGCTCTAAGAGCTTGCAGCTACAATAGCCTGGCCATTGCTGCTGGACTGCAGTCCCGATCATCACCGAAGCCCGAAAGAGGTTCGGTGGGAGCGTCAGACCATGGCAGCGATGACTGCATCTCGATGCTTCTTGGCCTCCAGCCCTAGCAAGCTGCCTCGCAGCCCGGGGGCTCAAGCATCCTTTCTTTGGGGCTTCCCCGTTCCCCTCAACCTCAAGAAGTTCACATCTGGGAGCCGGGACGGGCAGCAGCCGTTCTCCAGGTTTTTTTTACAGAGGGAGGGAAGGAGATATTTCCATGTGGGACCAATCCTCAGTGCCGAGATGCTTGCCCGTTTGGGAACAGCTGCTGTTTGCACTGAGAAACTCCGGACCCGTCTAGCCCAGTTTTGACTATACCAATCAACCTCAAGATATTGCGTGGATGACTAGCTCGTTTTAGCTGGGACTTGAGTTCAGGAAAGCACGCTTTCTTACTTGTGAGATCAAGCCCCTGGTGAAAAGGTCAGTGGGCTACCCTTCTTGGCAAGGCTTTTCCGAGGGAAAGGCTTGTCCTGGCCCACCCTGGAGAGATCATGGGTTGGACCTCACAGCTTTCCCACGCTAAGCCAAGCACACGCCACGAAACCCCCAGTGAGCCTGCTGGACAGCTGCATGCAGGAATAACGGGGGAAACCCACCGATCCGAGCCGGGGTGAAATTCAGAGAGCAAAGAGGGACGCCTCCGAAGTTGCTGCTGCTGCTGCTGCAGGATCTGAGTCGTGTCCAAGTGAGAATTACGGAAATCGGGGACAGCAAACTCCTGCAAAACAACAAGCAGGGCACAGCCGGTCAACCTTTGAAGCAGAAGTGCCCGGTACCATTTCGCCCAGCGACCCATTTTTTGTGGCTTCCCAGCTTTTCTGAAGATTTTTCCCTCCTCGTTCGAAAAGGTCAAGATGCGCCTGTTGGCGGGTATCCAGGCCTCACCGCTTTACCTTTTGGGCCTGCCCTGAATGCGACAGTTTATAATCCTGCGAAGGAGGCAAAATACCTTCATCGCTTACTTGCCCATTCTTATTTACAGCCTACCTCTTCTCCTCCCAGGAACCTGAGGGGGCTTACAGAGCCCCCCACCTTCTATTTTATCCTTCCAACAAGCCTGTGAGGCTGGCTACAATCTGGGAGGCAGGTTAGCACCTTTATTTGTGCTGGGGTCCTTCCTCCCAGCCTGCTTAGGCGGTGTATACGGCCAAGAAAGCATCCCTCCTACAGCAGCCAGAGGGGACCCGGGAACGAGAGCATTCTGCAGTACCATCAAACCGGCCAGCCAGGTATCAAGCACTGGCTGCCAAGTGCTTGAGTACCGTCAAATACAGCCAAGTAGTCTAAGAAGCCGTGAGATTGGCCAGAAGGAATTGGCCTGCTGCCTGCGTCGCATGGCTGCCTTTAAAAGCATATCGCCCATTTCAATCATCGCCAGAACTTTGTTTTACATTTTCCTTGCTCAGTTGTGCAATTGCAGAACAGCTTTGCCTGTCCTGGGGTCCTCAGCAAGATGGGCAGAAAAAAGTGATTTATAAAAACATATACAAGGATCATTCAGGATCGTGATATGCACAAAACGGGAACATGAATCAACTTGTAAAAGCAATATAAAGGATAACAAAAAATTACAACCGTACCAGCACTAAGCTGTACTCTCCCCCAGAACCGTAACGTGATTTAATCTCAACAGACCAGACTTTTCCCATCGGCCCCAGTGCCCAACCCTGCCTAGGCCAGGTTTCTCGGCCACGCTCGGGCAGCGAGAAAGGAAAACCAGCAGCTGGTGCCCGGGATCCCAGCCGCTCCGCCCCCAGCACTGCACCGTGCCCGCTGCCTCTTGCCTGCTGGTGCCGGCCACTGGAAAATGTGTACTGCACCGAGTGTGTTGCATAGCGGCTTTGCTCCGTGCTGAAGGCTCCCTGGTTCGGAGGGTAGCCCGAGCTGGACATTCTCGGAGGAGGCAGCAGTGTCTTCGCAGGGAGGAGAGATCACGACCGGGGAGCCACTGAGCTGCTCGGAAACCGCCTGCGGAGGGGAGGGAGAGAAGGGTGACCGGACCGCCCCAAGAGCCACGCTTAGGGTCGCCCGACGGCTTCCCATCTCAGCGGCGCACTGGGGAGAATGCGGGAGCGCGTTTGTCTGTGGGGGCCTTGGCCCAACCTGGCCCCCTCGAGAGCAGTTGGACTAGTGCCCGCTCACCCCCCCATCAAGCACGCCTGGAGAGCACTAGGCTGAGAGAAGGCTGCATTTGAGCAGTGATTCCGACCAGCACCTTAGTATGGCTTTGTCCCGGCCTGTACAGAGGGCACCGCCTTATGTCTACAGCTTGGCCCCACCAGGCCACCATAGGCCCTTCTGACCGTCAGAGGATCCCCCAGGGTCTCATGGAGAGAAGGGTCTCTCCCGTCACCTACCACACCGTGCTTTCAGGTGGGAAAACCTCAACGAGAGCCAAGGAAGAGACTGTAGGCCAGGGGGACACCCCGATGCCGAGCTGCACTCTCCACCTGGGAGGAGCACAGCACCGGATCTCCCACCTGGCTCCTTGCTGGCGGTTTGGAAGCAAGAAAAATCAGGGCACTGCCCATCTTCCACCCCTGTGGCCACAGACCACATCGTGCAGGGCTGCCGATAGGTCCTAGGGCAGCCACTGTGGCGGCCATCCTGGCTGGGGAGGATGGAAGGGGTAGTGCACACCTGGGAAAATGGCCAGTTGGGGAGAAGCTAATCTATCAGGCATACTTATTTGGTGCAAGCTGGAGGCTGCCCCCAGCAGCAACCACCGATGTCCTCCGCGCACTGAGGGCGCGTGCCAGCAGCCGCCACCCCCGGTCGGCTGTGGGCCCTGAGGGGAGGGCTGCTGAAGAGGTGCAGCATCTGGAAAAACACCCCTCCGTGCTGCAGCTCCAGGGCTTTTCTTCTGGCCCCGGCTTGCGAGTGCCACATCCACGCGGGAGGGCCGGCCACCCACGATACGGAGGAAAAGCACCAGCGGGTCTCAACAAGCCAAAGTGGAGCGCCTTCCCCACACACAGGCCTAAAGGGCCACCCCTCCACAAGGCTAAGCCATTCGGTTTTCGCAATCCCTACATGGCACGGCCCTTTTCCTGACTGAATGTGAGGACAGTAACTCAGCCATCCGTTGGAATCCACACTTTTTTGGACGGTTGGCTGCACCATCCGCAGCCAGTTAAATAGATCCAAAGATGTATGTAAAGTCTGTGCCCGAGAGAGATAACGCACACACTTAAGCCTGTTCTGGAAAATGTATTTTGGGAGGTGTGGGTGTTTCTTCAACTGTGGAATAATGCAGAAGCTAAATGGAGTTTAAGGTATGAACAAGAATCCACATGTGCAGAAGAAGTCAGGTTTGACCACCAGGCTGAGAGATTTTAGATTTGACAGTCAGCTGGTGCATGCGCTGGCCCCTACACTGAGGCAAGTTTTCTTCAGGCACACTTCCCTGCTATGAAACTTCCTCAGGGAGCAAAGGCCCAAAATGAAACCATAAACATGGCCGGGCGGGGTGGGGGGGGTGGAGATTCTTTTTCTATTTTGCCCAAAAATTTGGAAAAAAGAATTTCTGGAGGGAGGAAAACTTTTTCCCTATATTTTTCCCCTTGGGACTTCACATCTCTAAGCAAAGTACCTAATACCTTTCAAAGTGGAAGGATTAACATCATTCTGCACATGAAGCCCAAGTGAGAATCAAAGTTAGCATCAATACCGGCCGTTCCAGTTGAATGTGAGGCAATAGTAAACATGCAAGTTTCTAGCCCTCTTGGTTCAACCACCATTCCACTAATATGTTCTGTGAGCTCTCCCAAGTGTGAGAAGGCACCTGTGACAAAGCTTCAATAGAAAGAGCCTCTGGGGCCCCTCGTGGGACCACAACCTCTTTCCCTGGTTCCACCAACTACTGACCCGGTGCAGGTTCTCCCCCACTTCTCAAGATGCTGAAATGCTTCTTCTAGGTATTATTTATTGACAGTAAGAGCTCTAAGCTAGAATGGGTTGGCATTTTTTTGGTAATCTTGGCTCCATTCCTTTTGCCTTCGGCCCAGCCCACCACTGGAATGAGCTCCCCACCCTGAAATTTCTCCAAAGATGAACCCTGTTCTCCAGCTGAAAGAGAATTGCCAGCCCTGATTTTAGCTCACATTTAAATTTATTATCCTCAGCTGAAGCCGACACAATCACACAAGAAAGGACCTTCAAGCCCTGGAAGGTAATCCTTTAGAAACGAGCAAGTTTTTGCAATTCTGCTCAGACAGAAAAGGCTCAAGAAATTGCAGAAAACCGCAGCCAGACACTGATGTTTCGCCAGGGTGGAAAACACATCTGTCCGTTCCAGAGGCATCTTATAAACAAGGGCAGGCATCGCATTCAGGGTAGACACCAGTTTAGGTTCTCAAGCACAGCTCATACGTTAAAGCAGCCATGCTGAACTGCAGCTCCAAGCATCCCCAGCTACCGCGGGCATTGGCCAGGTTGACCAGAAATGATGGGGTTGCAAGCGATGCAGCTGGGGACACTTGTGGCTTAAGGTGTAGGCCTCCACCTGTACCTGCATTTCTGAGCTCAGCATCCCGTACACCTAGAAAGGTGCGTGGGGGCACCTACTTGCCACGAGAGAGAGGACTTTGAGCCGACCAAGTGGGGCTCGGCCTATGACCTTGGTCCGTCGGGAGGGACCTGTATATGGGCCAACTTTGGATCTGGCCCGATGTTCCGAAATGAGGCCAGGCCGTCCAGTCTGGATGAGAGGCTGCAGGTGAAGTGGGCCCAACTCAAAAGAGGGTAAGCGCTGATAAACCCAGTTCCAAAACTTTTGCCATTTACAGGAGCTGTCCTTGCCAGGGTGGTGAGGGGCAGCAACGGAGAAGAGAGCACAGTGCAGTAGCGGGTGCAGAATCCCACCTCTGGAGAACATCTGCTTTTGTTTAAAGACAGCGACGCAGGTTCCTAGCCCTTATGGATGGAAAGGTAAGATATGCTTGAAAGCATTTGGGGGGGGGGGGTCAGAAACCTATACAGTGCTTTGTACCTAGACACTACAGGGCTTTTGTGACAATCAAGCTGCCCCCCGCCAAAAAAAAAGCCTGTACGGAGCTCCAGTTAACAGTGGGGCTTTGCGCAACGCCAGGGTAAAATGCCACGCCAGGCAAACCATTGAATGGCCAACATTTTTGCAGTGCAGAGTAGAAAGAAAAGGCCGGCGCCTGGTTGCCCGGAACGGACTTTTCAGCCAGCAGAGTGCAAAGACGCTGCCTTCCAGATGACGGGGCCAAGTTTTGCCCAGAAACATGAGCTCTGCCTAGATTCATGGCCTGAGCAGGACAGGAAGTCCATGCACTGCCTTGCTCCCCCGAGAGTTGCTGGCTTCCTCCCTTCTCCCTGGCCTGGACAGGCACAAAGAGAGCTTTCCGCTAAGCCCTGCAAGGAATCCACCCCACAGCAGGGAGAAAGGACCACGTCCAGCTGACCCGATCCCCCCGCCGATTTCAAAAATAGCACCACTTATGCTGGAAGCGGAGAGACTGAGCTACAATGAAAGCAGAGAGGAAACCCCATCCCCAGACCCGCTGCCGTCCTCAGCAGCTGCGTGAAGCCGTCACCCGCCGCTGTCCACGCCGAGAACCTGCAAAGAACGAAAACGCTAAAGGGCCCTGGCTGGGCTGCGCAACGAGCTGCCCGGGCTACCCGTCCCAGAGCAGGTGATGCCATTTCGCTGCCCCAGGGCGAGGACGGGGGCACATTCCATTTTGGGGGCTCCATGCCAAAACCGGGCTGGAAATCAGAGGGGACGGAGCTAAAGGTCAATGAGGTGGGGCCAGGGGTGCAACCCCCCCGCCCCCGCTGACATAGCTTCCAGAGAAATTAGCAGAGGAATTTCAGTCCTTGAGAATGCACAAAGGCTGTGCTATTAAACGTGTGGTTGGGAGAGAGGGGCAGGCCGGGGAAAGGGGCACAGGCCCTGGTCCCTGGGGCTGTGGGTCCAGCAGCGCGGTGCCACCCATCAGCTGCACGCTCTCTGGAGGAGCGTACAGCGCCCTTGCCCACCCCGGCTGACTAAACTGCCCAACATGGGACAGATGCCATGGCTAAGGGAAGTGACACACGCCTCTGTGAGGAAGGGGGCGGTCCCCTTTTGCTTAAGACGCAGCAATCATGGGGTCTGCACTCAAGGAAGCTTCCTGTGACCCAGGAGATCCTCGAAGTCGATTCCAGTGGCACATGCACCATGCCGGGCTCAGGCGATTGAGGAGAAGACACCACAGCTGCAGCTGGACAATCCTGATTACCTGGGCCCACCTGGACTGGGCCTTCACCTGGGCTATTTGGTTGCCTTGGTGGAGGACCCATGCCAGGGACGGGCGAGAGGAGGCCCAACCCTGCGGGCTGTTTGGAGCTTCTCAGCAGTTGCTGAGACGGGCGGTGCTGGGCCCTATGGGGTGTGGTTAATTTCTTCTAACATTCACTAACTCCCCAGCTATATCTAAGCACATAACCAAAGCACAAAGAAACCAGAGAGTAACTCACAAGAAAAAGGAGATTGCTGCAAAGAAACACAAGGCTTTTAAAATTTCTTTCCATGTTTCAGGACGGAAGGGGAAATGCCTCCCCTCCACTTGGGGGCAGCGTGGCTGGGCCAGGGCTACACCGCCTACGGACTCTACCCTCTTTTGTTTCTTAACGCATGTTATTCCGCCAGGGTGCTTGTGTGCAGCCAGCTCAACACCAAAGGCCTCACCAATGGCTACTGTAAACAGCAACACATGATGCTGTTCCATGCCTGGCGGAACCATCCTCTTTCCAGCAGCAGCAGCAGGCAGAAATCAGATCTGAATCTGACGCGAGAGCACTGTCTTATTTTCCAGAGATCAACCCAGATTTCTGACTCCTGCTGGTTTAACAACATCAACATTATGCTGCCTAAATGATGCAGCTGAAATGAAGTAAAACTGGAGGGAAGTAGGGGCTAAGTTTTGCAGGAAAGCATCAGGAGCTCAGCGCCAGTCCTC